TTTAAAAAACGTGAACATCACACAGATTAATATGTACCCCTAAGTCTCTGGAACGGAATACATGCACCAGTGAACCTACAACTACACGATTTATATTTTAAAAATAATTAAATTCACTTAGCATTCAAAACTTTCGAATTTTGAAAAAAACAAATTTGCTGATTAAATACAGACAACCGTTTAACTGAAGTAAAACGGATTTTCCCCTTGCTATGGATATCTGCCTAGTTCAGTTCAGCCACAATCCGCTACAGTTCGCCTTTATTATCAGTTCGAAATGGGGTGGTTCCATAATACCCACAGTGTTCCATAAATCGCCATCTTATATGAAATTTAATAATTATAATTAAATAAATAATTTCGAATATTCTTGAAGAAAAGATCGCAAATTCTGCTTTACTGTACCTGCACGTTAAGAAGAAGATTGGGGTTCGAGTCTCTCCAGAATATTCAAAACTATTTATTTAATTATAACTATAAAATCCCTCACAAAATGGCGACTAAATCGCATATCTTTAGGCGAAATTGCATAGTATTTTGTATATTTAACTAGCCAAATTGTAGCCTAATCAGAAATTCCTTTTATTTGATTAGTAATATGAATCCGGGCATGGCTTTTTTTTTTAATTATCTTAAATAATATTTTCTTTTCCAGTCATCATATTGCGGGTGTATTGTGTGTGACCACTACAAATTCCGAAACATTGATATTGAGTGGTTCCGAAGTTGGAGTGGTGATTGTAGCCAGATTGGATACTGGTCAACTAGTACAAAGACTGGAGAATCATCGAGGTGTCATCAATTGCATTGCAGTCAATAATGGCGATGATATTTTCGCTACTGGTTCGTAAATAAAAATTCCATTACCAATTCTATTCGAGGAATTGCCTCTAAAGTATTTTTCAACTTTTATGATCTGCAAAAAGGTGTATAATACTGCCAATACGCTGTATAGTTATTAAGGGAGCCGTCTATTAATTACGTGTACAGTTTAATAAAGGGAGGAGAGGGTCGGAAAAAGTACAATATCATATACAACAGAGAGAGCGTGGGCAAAAAGTGGTTCAAAAGCTTCCACGTAATTTATGGCCGGTCCTTTTAAGGCTCCTTACACCCCAATTTAGAACTATTATTTATATATATTTAGGTTAAATGTGTTGAAGTTATAGATTTAACTTCATATATTTTAATTTAATTAAGAATTAACTGAGAATTAACTCGATAAAACACATTTAACTTTAGTGAGAAGTCAAGTGATTTAATGTTAATTAAATAACTAAATGTGTTTTAGTTTAATAAGTTTCGATTTAACGGAGTGTTTAACCTAATTGAAACAATATAACGTAACTTATAATTGTTAAACTTAACTGAAAATTAACTGAAAATGTTTGGCTTAATTGAAACTCGCTGAAAGTGTGCAAATTTAACTAATGATTGAATATAATTGTGAGTTACAGTTTGCTAGAAATATAAATCAACTGATAATTGCGATAGATTTCAAAGTTTAATTGTAATTTAACTGTAGTGAGACATTCGTACTTACTTGATATATGATGAATACCTGATTTAAAGTGAAATTTGTTAAAGAAATTTGATTTTTTTGCGAGGATTTAAGAAAAAAAATTGTTAATTAAACTTCATTTTATTAAATTCTTATGAGTAAAATTATTAAATAATTTGCATTATTACATGACTTTACCGAAATTAAAGACATTTTTATATTAAATTTAATTTCTTTACTTCCTGCTCATTCTTATCGCCACAGAAGCGAGTGTATGACTACTTATTGAAATGGAAGACGTAGAAAGAATGATAATTTCAGTAAAAGAAAGTAATGATACAAAACTTGGCTAATTATCTTTAATTTCAGAAATTATTTTTTTAATACAAAGGGAAAAAATAATAAAAAAATATCCAACTCATTAATTAAATCTTTCTTCGGAAATTATTAAAGAACTGCAGCTTTTTTTCCATTGTAAAAAACATTAACTCAAAAAGATAATTAGGGAAAAAATAATTTAATTTATAACTTTAATAAACAAAAAATAAATAAATAAATATAATTCTTTGTCACGAAATTCTATATAATTTCTATATTTTAAACTGTTGTATTTTAATTGATTAGGTTCATCAGACTGTACAGTATGTATCTCGAGTTTGGAAGACTTCAGTCTGCTGAACACAATTTATTTGACTTCATCCATCTGCTTGATGGACATTTCGAATGACAGCACTTTTCTTCTCCTGAACTGTAAAGACAATACCGTACACGTCAGATCTTTGACCACCGGATCCGATGTCCATTGTCTGCAAGGTTATACTGGATCAGTTACTAGATTATGTTTCGCTAAAGATAGCTGCAGATGCGGGGTTGGCACTAGTGATGGCAAGTGTTACATATATGACATTCACTCTGCCACTCTATTGCAGACATTAATTGGCCATTCGGATCCCATTTCTGGGATGCAGGTAAGAATATAAACTGAGTAAATCATTTCTGAAAATGATCGATTTTTGAAGCGCTTGAACGAGTGAAACTTTTGTGTAAACGAGTGTCGAAGTTTCGTGAGTGAAATTCAACACAAAATTATCGAATATCGATACAAATTTATCGGATTTGATGCGAATTTTAAACGTTGCAACTAAGGTTGTTCGTATTAACATAGGGCCTATGCATTTATAACATGGATAATTAATTATAAAATAATAATTTATACTTTACTAATAATAAATTTGTAATTAAATTAAACTGTTAGGTGAATCTTTACTTAATTAATCATTAAAACAATTACAATTAATTCAACGTATTAAGGATAGTTTCTTATGAATCTGGAAAATCCTTATTAAACTAGCTGTTATAATGTAAATCTCTCTATATATAATAGTCAAAATATGTATATATGTTAGTTAAAGGATTCTTTCTATACCATTTAACGTACCGCATCAAATTTAGCATGAATATTCTTCGATACCCTAGAAAAATACTGTAGTGTGCCCACCCCTACAGCCCACAGCTCTTAACTTAAGCCCGAGCATTTTTTTGTGTTTTAGAGTATTGTGAATACTCAGGTAGTGTACTAGACCATAACTAAGATCATTGTTTTTATCACTCCCTCTCAACCCAATCTCACTAATCTCCCTTCAAATGTGAGCACACGCAACTAGTATATTCATAAATTGAATTTATTATAAATAATGCTTTAAAAATAAGTTATTTTTAAATATATATTGATAAATGATAAATGAAACACATGTTATTTATAAATAACAATATACTTTATATATGGAGAAATAAATTTCTATATTACGAGTAAAAACATAGGATTCATCTTTCTCTAATTATAAAATTTATGAGACTTATTAAAGCTGCTTTAAAGATATTTTGCTTCGCATATATACATTAAAATAATTAAACTAAGCACAGTTATCTACGTATTAAGTCTTTATTTAAAAAATAAAATAAAATAAATGTGTTTTATAGTATCATAACGTCTCATTAAATAGTTGTTTCTCTATATATCTTTTTAAAATTAGTTTTTAAAATTACTTTCACATTTTCTATCTTTCAGATATCTTTACTATCTTTATCCTTTTATACTTTAACTTCAATCGCACAATATCAAAGTTCCCAACTTTCCCATTATCTCTGATCAAAATTTCTGTACTATAAGTCACTAACCACCATTCTAGTTCTAAAATCTATCGTTTAACCTTTTATTCCACTTCATAAATCTCATTATATACTATAAAACCATATTTCTAACCATCAAAATGTAATTTACTTTCCTCTTTATCCTCTTTATCCTAATTTATCCTAATACATCTGCTAGTCGCCTTCTATTCGATTATACTGAACATTTTTTTCCTTTTATTTTTTACCAAATATAGCAAATGTATCCTTTATTCCTTTTACTATAAAGAAGTAGATATGTATCTTCTCTTCCTTCCTAGCTATAGTAAGTCATACTGTTTATCATCTATGGATTCTATACTATACAAATATATTCCGTCTCACATCATCATCATAAAACAGCCATTACTGGGGAATATTTTTATATTCAATTTATCAAATTCTAAGCTTTTCTGTCAGTTTTATTCTTTTAAAAATTGCCAAAATTCCTTTTCTAGGCTCAAGAAAATGATCGGTTTCTCATTAGCTCCGCTGGCATAAAGATCGTAGTATGGAATTTCAGTCCCAGAAAGAAAGATACTCCCATTCATCATCTAAAAACTAAATTAAGAAAAGTCGACAGCCATTCCGAACCGGTTTCCTGCGTAACAGTTTCTAGAGACGGAGTATTTGCAGTAACAGGTGAGTAAATGGGCGAGGGATGACGACGTGTAGCATAACAATCGAAAAATCCAAATCTCTTCCCTCAGGTTCTAAAGACTGTCAAGTAAAGGTGTGGCATCTCAACACTGGAGAGATTCACACTACTCTCGAAGGACATTGTGCAGCTGTCACATGTGTCGCCTTCTCTCCCAATGGTTTGTTTGTCGTCTCTGGTTCCGAAGATACCACCCTTAGGGTCTGGGGATTGGCTGTCGGACTTGTCATTTCTTCATTTAAGGTAGGTGACAATTCTCTATTGTGATAAAAACTGCTTTTATTCAGAATTTAGTATAATAAAATGAATTTAAAAGCATTAATATTCTCATCGAGTATTTGGTAAATGTATAAGAAAAATTATTATTATTATAATTTATGAAAAATTGCTATAAGCATGATAATTATGAATAATTACACTCTCGAAAACTAATCAATAATTGATTATCTACCAGAATATTCATTGTTATCTCGGGCATTGTTTCGTGTGTCACACTATTCTTTCATCGATCTAAAACATATCGTTTAATTGATAATAATTGCTTTTCACTTAACAATCGATAGAAAACCAGCGAAACTTTTTTAAAACATTGCAAAAATTTTAAAACATTGTCTCCAATTTTAATAATAAACAAGCTAATTAATCGATTTTCTATACGTTATTTTAAAAATGAATAATTTACTATTAATAAATATTGGTTTGGTTTAATCGTATACGTCAGCGACACAGCATGTGCCAAGGAAAGACTTTCTATCAGAAACTGGATCTATTTAGGTGTTAACAAGTGAAAAAAAAAAACCTGAAAAACTTTACGTGGCCAGCACATTGATCAGGCGCGAATCCGCGATCTGTGCACACTCAATACTGTTTTTTTTTTTTTTTTCTTTGTTAAATTAGGTCTTTCCACCCTGTGGGAACTAAGAGGGCCTCTTCTTTTTGCAAGCCCATTCGGCGAGGCCCGAGAGCCCACAATGAGGTGGTTCGGAGGTGAGGAACGGGGCCCGACATATCACCCCCCCCCCGAAAAATTCCTGGGGACTTTTCTATCTCATCCGGATTCGATCCCGTGGCTCTCAGGGTGGTAGGCTACCATCTTGACCGCTTGGCCATCCGGCTGACTCAATACTGGTAGGATATAAATACTGATTAATTTATTAATAAACAATATTTATTATTATTTGGGCTCTAGAAGACAGTCAATAATTTTTTAGTAACTACTACATTATCTTTTAATATAAGAACCAATCAAATCCTTCATTTAAGAAACAAGTAATCTCAAGTGGTTTCAAAAATAGAACTGTTCAACAAAAATAAATTGGATTCCTCTCACTCTATAAATAATTACAGCATTGATAAAACTTCTTTAACATCAAATATATTTGTTTTCAGAGTAAATCTCATATTATGATAGACGTAAACAAACACGTTTCTCTCCTAATTATTTTATATCCAAAGCATATTTCATGTTTATGAATAAAAATAATAAGTTTATTGGAAAATATATTAGTCTATTATTGTGATAAAAAGAAAAATTTCCATAAAAATAATCACTTTTTTACGAATATTTTCCTTTCACAAAAATTGTTTTTTTATTACTTTAGCCGTAGTATTTAATAATAAATATAAATTTTTTCCATTAGGAAATTTTGTTGATTCCGTTAATACAGAGTCATTATTATTAAATGCTTTTAACTTGCTTTGTATCACGTCCTCAAGTCTTGCAACTCAAATTTCTAATTAAGATAGAAGGCTGAAACTTTGAGGACATCTTCGATGACAATGCATTTTAATAACGTTTTAGCTGGTATCTCCATCCCAAAATTCGATAAACACTGTGTAAATGTGTGTGTAAACGCACCGTAGTAATGTATATGATAGTGTTTATGTCATCCCCACCATTTATTAATACGTCACTACAGTTTTTCGAGATTGGAGTGATTATACTGGGTGACTTACTCCATAACCCCACCTCAATCTTGAAATGGTCATGTTTCCCGCCATTCCAATCCCGGATTGTTTATGTTAAACAGTAGCCAATAAAAGCGTATTTTGAAATAAAATTATTTAGATTATTAAAGAAATTATTTTCTTGAATTTTTTTGTCATATATTACTCATAAATGTATGAAAAATACCCAAATATTTAACAATACGAAATATAATTATTGTTAATGTTATTATGTTATATTTAATTAATAACAATGCTTGTAAAGCTTACAAATAAATTTGTAATAAAATTAATAATTCATCCTCTATTAGCTCACAAGTAAAATGGAATTAATAGGGGGATAAAATCAGGGGAAAGGGAGTATCGAGGTTTGATAGTAACCTATATTATCAGTATATCCTATGTAAAATTTGATATAGATCGGTCAAAGGGTTTAGAAGTATATATAGCCTATATATATATATATATATATATACATTCNATAAAATAAATATTTAAACATTAATTATTTTCCTAATTCGTGTTTTAGAAATTAAGCAACTGTTACGAATGTATAATGATTAAATTTTAAGGCAGTTCGCATTAAGTGTACTTGTTAAGAATTATAGTAATTGACAAATAAACATGCATATGTTCGGAGGAGCTACCCTCCCAAATTCGAGGGGTTTACACCTGAATTTCGCTCTCAATTGATGGCAAAATATCATCAGTTTTCCTCAATTGATGATATTTTGACATTTGATATTTTGATATTATTACGTCTCTGCCTCTTAAACGAAATGTCTTCATATGCCCATGTATAAAGATATCACAATATTTAGTGCAAACTTTCTTAAAATTTTGGACATTTGCATACCAAGAAAATGCTTATAACAGGAAAAAAATCTATTATTTTAGAGAAACTTAATAATTTCAATCTAATTCTGAAGAAATACGATATAAGAATAAATAACTATTCCTATTCATATAGGAATAGTTATTTATTCTTATATTGTAAATTGTTCACTCTACACACCCTAAAGACACGAAGAGGACCTTCTTAATCTATTCAGCTAGATCCACTATGGTGGTGGCTTGACATATCCGGACAGACCTCCAGTGGCGTGTTATTCTAAGGGCAAAAAGGGCAATTGCCTGAGATCCCCACCAACAGGGTTCCCCAAACCAATCTTTTATAAGAAAATATTTCCTCAAAAAATTTTTCCGAAGAAAAATGTCTGAAGTCAACACTATACATGAGAGCCCCCTAATTCAAATTTGCCCCATAAAGCTATAACAAATCACTGCAGACCTCCCACAAAAAATTCCAAGGGATGCTCGCCCGGATTTCAATCTCAGCTCTCCTCCAGAGCCGTATGCTGACATCTTAACCTCCTCGATCAACCAGCTGTCAATATCTGAATAAATTATAAACGTTACACGATCCTCCTCATTTGAGTCACATTTCAAATCATACCAACAATTACATAACACTAAGTAATTAAAATCTAATACTAATTAATGAAATGAAACTTTAAATTATTTTATGATAGAAATTCTCTCTTTTTTAATTGTGATTATTTAATTTAATATTATTCGTGTGAAATAAAACAGCTTATACAATTAAAATTTATCACATAATTAGTGAATTAACTTATAAGATTATGAATAAAAAACTATATAAATATATATACGTATATGAAGTTTATCAATTCATAAATCTAAGAAAAATTCCAATAACATAAACCGTTATCCTTAAGAAAATTACTTTACTTCGATACTACTGCTTTATAATTACGTGACAGACATTAAACAAAATTAATATCAGTACTGATCATTAATTTACATGATAATGCGCTTGTCGAAAGCGCTTAAAGGTTTAAATTTCAATTTTTTGCCGTGTGATTAATCGAAAATCCCTAATTTCGCAAATGACAATGTATAACAGACAATGGCTTACTTGTAAAATATTATCCAAGATTAATGTCCCCTTTAAGGCAGCTAAAAGTTCTCTCTTGTTCTAGACTTGTCTCATAAGTTATTAAATGATATATTTTATGAGGGATCCTTAAAAGGATCTCTGGGCAAATTCTATTGAGTTAGGCTCTTTGGAGAGCGTGTTTTATTCATATTTTATTAGGCCTAAATATTACTATAAAAGTATGTAATTTTGTTCAATAAGTTCGTGAACACCATAATCTTTGATGCATAAAAATTTCGATAACTACGAAGAAAATAATTATTTTCTCTTCTGTTGTTTGCGAATGAATGAAGCCGTGTCATCGAAGCGTGGAGAGAAAATTAATGAGGTGCAATGTGTATTGAATGGGTTCCTACAGAATTTTAAGGATTCGGTGGTATAGATTGATTTGATTAGCTGCCGTTCCATTAATTAGCTAATACGAGAATACTAAAGAGGTAGAAGTGGATGGTAAAGAAGAGCAGTACTTATTAGCAGACCAAATAATATTCGCTAAACAATAATTTAATAATAAAATGTTCTTATGCATCCGATATTTTTTTTAGAAGTTTAAGGAGCAAGATAATCTTTTTAATTCTTTTAAAATTTGACTTAACTCTTTCATGTTTTTATAGATTTACTGATTAAGTCGAAATAGATCCAGTCATTGATTGAACATTAAATAGACTCATTTATTGATTGAACGTGGAGTAGATTCATTCATTTATTTCTTTAAAATTGATGCTTTTTATTTAATGAAATGAAGTAATTTGTAAAAATACAACTGGTTTTTAGAAAAATAGAAAAAAGTGTAAAACAAATTAATCTAGATCAGGGAAACTAATTAATTTATTAAAAATTTTACTATCTTCATTGATAAAATTAAATCGATGCAAAGAAAATAATTTACAATTTCGGTTCTTCTTACTAATTGTGATTAATTTTAACTACTAACCTATCATTTCTGAATAGTTGATAAGCGTTTATTTATTTATACTAAAGTATAAAATATTGCGTATAGTGGTGCTACTAAAAGAATACTATGTGGGCGGAAGACCATATCTACAATGGAGCCATCGAGCAATTGCAGAGAATGTGAGAAAAAGATACTTATCTCGTCCAGAAGATCGTTATTCCTGTCACAACGATTTGGCTCAAGCTTTTCATTTAGGCTATCTTGCTGAGAAAGATAAAAAGGTGATTTTTAAAAAGTTCCTTATACTTTAACGAATTAAAATTATAATTAAATTTAAAGTCTAATTTTAGGAACAATCGGTAAGTGGTACAACAAAATCTAAAGACGATCAATCGGATATTCTTCGAGAATTGGATGAATTGTGGTTCCATCTACTTCAATGTGGTTCGTGTATTTAGTTTTCTTTCTTTTTTGTTTTTACTTTTAGTAATTTCGTTACAGTAACTTGTTTTTCTTCTGTTAGGCGACTTGCAGAAACTCAAACAGGATGCAATTTGCAATTTTGATTTCCTATTTTCCGCTACCAAGGGTTCTTCAATCAGTTATGTAAGAAGTATCCTTGAACTCGTGAGGTGCAAGGTAAGGAAGAGAGGTTGTAGATGTCGGAGTATTATTATTATTTTTACATTTAAAGGAAATTAATTTTGCACTTAGAGGGTTTTTCAATTCGAGCGTGTTTTAGGGATTAAAGAAAATAATAGAATTTCAGCACCATAGAAAAAACAATGTAGTCAGATGTTCTTGAGAGTTATCATGTAAGGAGTTTAATTTTTTTCTGGAATTAAACTCCATATTTTTAATTTTGTTTGTATATAAAATCGTTATTGATAAATATTTAACTAATTTTTTTTAAATAATCTGATTATTTTCCATTTTTAGTTTTTAGACTGGGAAGTGGAACTGTTATATACTTTAACTAAACAATCTGTGGATGTACTGAGTCAAGATCCACAACAATTAGCAACCGAAATTATGAATTGGTTAAAGCCATACGCAGGTAGATACTATTTTTTTTTTTTTTCAATTTAAGAAAATTTAATTTTTATCTTATAAAATTCATTTTTATTTCAGATAAATCATCACCAGTATTGGAAGGATTAGTTAGCAATGCTTTGGAGTGGTGTAATAATATAAAAAATCCTTTATTGGTTCCAAAAAACTCTTGGTTATCTCTCACGCTCCCGTCACAAGTTACCGTGATGACGTGTCCTCATCCCATTGACCATATGGTGACCACACCCGATAGTCAGCACTTATTTTGCAGTCACGGACGAGATATACACATGTACCACATCCCATCGAAGGAGAGTGTTCGATCACTGACAGGTTCGATTGGACGGTACTATCTGGTGATATGTCCCATGAATTTGGATGTTTTCTTAATGAGAAACGGTGTAGGAGCATGCGTTAATCGCGATTTACTATTTTTAGTTTGTCTTCTAACGTCGTATCCACTCGTTGAATTTTTAATTATTAAAAAAGTAATAATAATAACGTTTGTTACTTAGCTAAACAGCATAAAATTCGATCCTGTTGAATTAAAAAAAAAATTGAATTTAAATTATTCATTCGAGTTATTAAATTAAAAAGTTACTACAAATTAAACATTCATTTAAACAAAGTGACTATTTTCCTGTAAAGACAAACTTAACTATTCCCTAAACGCTTTTTTTTATAATGGAATTTTCAACTATTTTTTTAAATGGAAAGAATAATGTATTACATTTTTCATTAAAAAAAAGAAAGTACAATGTTTGATGACGTAGGAACAAAATGAATTAAATCTCCATTGTGAACATTAACGCATCAAGTAGATTGTTAATGAAGACAAACAGTTGCAGTTTGATAATTTACTAACTCGCTGACATTTACTACATAATGCGCTGGCTTTTATATAATTAAAGGAGAGAAAATGTCTCCGTTCGTAGAATTACTCTAGAATTGCGAATAAATTGCAGCAGTATTCTTTCATTCGTTCAATTTTCTTGTTACAGGTCACAAAGATGAAATTACGTGCATACACATGACCGTATCAGGAAGATGGTTAGTTAGTGGATCCGAGGACACTAATGTTATCGTATGGGAAGCATGCAGCGGGAAAATGAAACAGCGACTTAGGTATTTCATTAAATATTTATTTAAATGTAAATCATATCACACATTTACTTATAAAGATACAATTTTTTGTTTTTAGTCGGAAAGGAATTTTCTATGTATTTTGTGAGCAAACAATATTTCGAACTGTGTCTAACACGCGAACGTGACATTTTCTAGATTAAATAAATGTTACTATAGTAGTAACTGTTAGACCAATCGGTAAGAGTTATGTAGGACAAACGATCGAATTCGTGACTGAATGTGTTACTTCTAACTTTAGGATTACATTAAAAAATAAAATAAAATAAAACTTTTAAGCTTTACTTTTTTAATTAAGCTTTATTTCTTAATCAAATAATTCGACTTTTTAACGGTATTTTACAACAAAAATCAATAATAATTTATAAAAGCTTTAAATAAACAATATTAAATTTATTATTCTATATTTAAACGATAATCAAATAAAAAAATTTAGTAACTACTTGCATAACTTTTCTGGCTGTTATGAGTTTTATCTAAAAAAGTAATAACTTTTATATTAGAGGTGAAGGTGGTATTATGGAACCCCAATTATATTTTAGTGAATTGTAAACAAGGTATCATAACTACACTCACATTTTTTGTGCGAAAAGTACTGGTAACTATTAAACTAAATGTTTCCAATTGAATTTTTCGCTAGTGTAACTATAAGTATGGTTTTTGAAGGCTTTTGTACAAAAAGTCAGAAAGTAGGCTTAGAGAAAATCGGGTGGTAATATGGAACCTTACTGTATATTTTCAAAAAAATGCTTTAATGTAGCCAAAAACAAATAGGAAAGGACAAAAAATGTTAAATAATTACCAAATTATTTACTCCAATGTATTTTATCGCAAAAATGCTTTTATAATAGAAAAATATGACCTCCATCAACAATATATATTCCAGCAGCTCTTTTTCGATATTTTCAGACTTTCTACCTAGTGTCTTTTTCCCAAATTGCTCCGGACGAATGTCTGATTGCAAAGAGAGAGTTCGGAGGAGTTGAGTTCCATATTACTGTAAAAGCACCAAAGGGGTCCGTATTTCACGCATCGCCATCTCGAATTAACTTATGTCTGTCGAGACCAAAATTTAAAAAACGTGAACATCACACAGATTAATATGTACCCCTAAGTCTCTGGAACGGAATACATGCACCAGTGAACCTACAACTACACGATTTATATTTTAAAAATAATTAAATTCACTTAGCATTCAAAACTTGCGAATTTTGAAAAAAACAAATTTGCTGATTAAATACAGACAACCGTTTAACTGAAGTAAAACGGATTTTCCCCTTGCTATGGATATCTGCCTAGTTCAGTTCAGCCACAATCCGCTACAGTTCGCCTTTATTATCAGTTCGAAATGGGGTGGTTCCATAATACCCACAGTGTTCCATAAATCGCCATCTTATATGAAATTTAATAATTATAATTAAATAAATAATTTCGAATATTCTTGAAGAAAAGATCGCAAATTCTGCTTTACTGTACCTGCACGTTAAGAAGAAGATTGGGGTTCGAGTCTCTCCAGAATATTCAAAACTATTTATTTAATTATAACTATAAAATCCCTCACAAAATGGCGACTAAATCACATATCTTTAGGCGAAATTGCATAGTATTTTGTATATTTAACTAGCCAAATTGTAGCCTAATCAGAAATTCCTTTTATTTGATTAGTAATATGAATCCGGGCATGGCTTTTTTTTTTAATTATCTTAAATAATATTTTCTTTTCCAGTCATCATATTGCGGGTGTATTGTGTGTGACCACTACAAATTCCGAAACATTGATATTGAGTGGTTCCGAAGTTGGAGTGGTGATTGTAGCCAGATTGGATACTGGTCAACTAGTACAAAGACTGGAGAATCATCGAGGTGTCATCAATTGCATTGCAGTCAATAATGGCGATGATATTTTCGCTACTGGTTCGTAAATAAAAATTCCATTACCAATTCTATTCGAGGAATTGCCTCTAAAGTATTTTTCAACTTTTATGATCTGCAAAAAGGTGTATAATACTGCCAATACGCTGTATAGTTATTAAGGGAGCCGTCTATTAATTACGTGTACAGTTTAATAAAGGGAGGAGAGGGTCGGAAAAAGTACAATATCATATACAACAGAGAGAGCGTGGGCAAAAAGTGGTTCAAAAGCTTCCACGTAATTTATGGCCGGTCCTTTTAAGGCTCCTTACACCCCAATTTAGAACTATTATTTATATATATTTAGGTTAAATGTGTTGAAGTTATAGATTTAACTTCATATATTTTAATTTAATTAAGAATTAACTGAGAATTAACTCGATAAAACACATTTAACTTTAGTGAGAAGTCAAGTGATTTAATGTTAATTAAATAACTAAATGTGTTTTAGTTTAATAAGTTTCGATTTAACGGAGTGTTTAACCTAATTGAAACAATATAACGTAACTTATAATTGTTAAACTTAACTGAAAATTAACTGAAAATGTTTGGCTTAATTGAAACTCGCTGAAAGTGTGCAAATTTAACTAATGATTGAATATAATTGTGAGTTACAGTTTGCTAGAAATATAAATCAACTGATAATTGCGATAGATTTCAAAGTTTAATTGTAATTTAACTGTAGTGAGACATTCGTACTTACTTGATATATGATGAATACCTGATTTAAAGTGAAATTTGTTAAAGAAATTTGATTTTTTTGCGAGGATTTAAGAAAAAAAATTGTTAATTAAACTTCATTTTATTAAATTCTTATGAGTAAAATTATTAAATAATTTGCATTATTACATGACTTTACCGAAATTAAAGACATTTTTATATTAAATTTAATTTCTTTACTTCCTGCTCATTCTTATCGCCACAGAAGCGAGTGTATGACTACTTATTGAAATGGAAGACGTAGAAAGAATGATAATTTCAGTAAAAGAAAGTAATGATACAAAACTTGGCTAATTATCTTTAATTTCAGAAATTATTTTTTTAATACAAAGGGAAAAAATAATAAAAAAATATCCAACTCATTAATTAAATATTTCTTCGGAAATTATTAAAGAACTGCAGCTTTTTTTCCATTGTAAAAAACATTAACTCAAAAAGATAATTAGGGAAAAAATAATTTAATTTATAACTTTAATAAACAAAAAATAAATAAATAAATATAATTCTTTGTCACGAAATTCTATATAATTTCTATATTTTAAACTGTTGTATTTTAATTGATTAGGTTCATCAGACTGTACAGTATGTATCTCGAGTTTGGAAGACTTCAGTCTGCTGAACACAATTTATTTGACTTCATCCATCTGCTTGATGGACATTTCGAATGACAGCACTTTTCTTCTCCTGAACTGTAAAGACAATACCGTACACGTCAGATCTTTGACCACCGGATCCGATGTCCATTGTCTGCAAGGTTATACTGGATCAGTTACTAGATTATGTTTCGCTAAAGATAGCTGCAGATGCGGGGTTGGCACTAGTGATGGCAAGTGTTACATATATGACATTCACTCTGCCACTCTATTGCAGACATTAATTGGCCATTCGGATCCCATTTCTGGGATGCAGGTAAGAATATAAACTGAGTAAATCATTTCTGAAAATGATCGATTTTTGAAGCGCTTGAACGAGTGAAACTTTTGTGTAAACGAGTGTCGAAGTTTCGTGAGTGAAATTCAACACAAAATTATCGAATATCGATACAAATTTATCGGATTTGATGCGAATTTTAAACGTTGCAACTAAGGTTGTTCGTATTAACATAGGGCCTATGCATTTATAACATGGATAATTAATTATAAAATAATAATTTATACTTTACTAATAATAAATTTGTAATTAAATTAAACTGTTAGGTGAATCTTTACTTAATTAATCATTAAAACAATTACAATTAATTCAACGTATTAAGGATAGTTTCTTATGAATCTGGAAAATCCTTATTAAACTAGCTGTTATAATGTAAATCTCTCTATATATAATAGTCAAAATATGTATATATGTTAGTTAAAGGATTCTTTCTATACCATTTAACGTACCGCATCAAATTTAGCATGAATATTCTTCGATACCCTAGAAAAATACTGTAGTGTGCCCACCCCTACAGCCCACAGCTCTTAACTTAAGCCCGAGCATTTTTTTGTGTTTTAGAGTATTGTGAATACTCAGGTAGTGTACTAGACCATAACTAAGATCATTGTTTTTATCACTCCCTCTCAACCCAATCTCACTAATCTCCCTTCAAATGTGAGCACACGCAACTAGTATATTCATAAATTGAATTTATTATAAATAATGCTTTAAAAATAAGTTATTTTTAAATATATATTGATAAATGATAAATGAAACACATGTTATTTATAAATAACAATATACTTTATATATGGAGAAATAAATTTCTATATTACGAGTAAAAACATAGGATTCATCTTTCTCTAATTATAAAATTTATGAGACTTATTAAAGCTGCTTTAAAGATATTTTGCTTCGCATATATACATTAAAATAATTAAACTAAGCACAGTTATCTACGTATTAAGTCTTTATTTAAAAAATAAAATAAAATAAATGTGTTTTATAGTATCATAACGTCTCATTAAATAGTTGTTTCTCTATATATCTTTTTAAAATTAGTTTTTAAAATTACTTTCACATTTTCTATCTTTCAGATATCTTTACTATCTTTATCCTTTTATACTTTAACTTCAATCGCACAATATCAAAGTTCCCAACTTTCCCATTATCTCTGATCAAAATTTCTGTACTATAAGTCACTAACCACCATTCTAGTTCTAAAATCTATCGTTTAACCTTTTATTCCACTTCATAAATCTCATTATATACTATAAAACCATATTTCTAACCATCAAAATGTAATTTACTTTCCTCTTTATCCTCTTTATCCTAATTTATCCTAATACATCTGCTAGTCGCCTTCTATTCGATTATACTGAACATTTTTTTCCTTTTATTTTTTACCAAATATAGCAAATGTATCCTTTATTCCTTTTACTATAAAGAAGTAGATATGTATCTTCTCTTCCTTCCTAGCTATAGTAAGTCATACTGTTTATCATCTATGGATTCTATACTATACAAATATATTCCGTCTCACATCATCATCATAAAACAGCCATTACTGGGGAATATTTTTATATTCAATTTATCAAATTCTAAGCTTTTCTGTCAGTTTTATTCTTTTAAAAATTGCCAAAATTCCTTTTCTAGGCTCAAGAAAATGATCGGTTTCTCATTAGCTCCGCTGGCATAAAGATCGTAGTATGGAATTTCAGTCCCAGAAAGAAAGATACTCCCATTCATCATCTAAAAACTAAATTAAGAAAAGTCGACAGCCATTCCGAACCGGTTTCCTGCGTAACAGTTTCTAGAGACGGAGTATTTGCAGTAACAGGTGAGTAAATGGGCGAGGGATGACGACGTGTAGCATAACAATCGAAAAATCCAAATCTCTTCCCTCAGGTTCTAAAGACTGTCAAGTAAAGGTGTGGCATCTCAACACTGGAGAGATTCACACTACTCTCGAAGGACATTGTGCAGCTGTCACATGTGTCGCCTTCTCTCCCAATGGTTTGTTTGTCGTCTCTGGTTCCGAAGATACCACCCTTAGGGTCTGGGGATTGGCTGTCGGACTTGTCATTTCTTCATTTAAGGTAGGTGACAATTCTCTATTGTGATAAAAACTGCTTTTATTCAGAATTTAGTATAATAAAATGAATTTAAAAGCATTAATATTCTCATCGAGTATTTGGTAAATGTATAAGAAAAATTATTATTATTATAATTTATGAAAAATTGCTATCAGCATGATAATTATGAATAATTACACTCTCGAAAACTAATCAATAATTGATTATCTACCAGAATATTCATTGTTATCTCGGGCATTGTTTCGTGTGTCACACTATTCTTTCATCGATCTAAAACATATCGTTTAATTGATAATAATTGCTTTTCACTTAACAATCGATAGAAAACCAGCGAAACTTTTTTAAAACATTGCAAAAATTTTAAAACATTGTCTCCAATTTTAATAATAAACAAGCTAATTAATCGATTTTCTATACGTTATTTTAAAAATGAATAATTTACTATTAATAAATATTGGTTTGGTTTAATCGTATACGTCAGCGACACAGCATGTGCCAAGGGAAGACTTTCTATCAGAAACTGGATCTATTTAGGTGTTAACAAGTGAAAAAAAAAAACCTGAAAAACTTTACGTGGCCAGCACATTGATCAGGCGCGAATCCGCGATCTGTGCACACTCAATACTGTTTTTTTTTTTTTTTTCTTTGTTAAATTAGGTCTTTCCACCCTGTGGGAACTAAGAGGGCCTCTTCTTTTTGCAAGCCCATTCGGCGAGGCCCGAGAGCCCACAATGAGGTGGTTCGGAGGTGAGGAACGGGGCCCGACATATCCCCCCCCCCCGAAAAATTCCTGGGGACTTTTCTATCTCATCCGGATTCGATCCCGTGGCTCTCAGGGTGGTAGGCTACCATCTTGACCGCTTGGCCATCCGGCTGACTCAATACTGGTAGGATATAAATACTGATTAATTTATTAATAAACAATATTTATTATTATTTGGGCTCTAGAAGACAGTCAATAATTTTTTAGTAACTACTACATTATCTTTTAATATAAGAACCAATCAAATCCTTCATTTAAGAAACAAGTAATCTCAAGTGGTTTCAAAAATAGAACTGTTCAACAAAAATAAATTGGATTCCTCTCACTCTATAAATAATTACAGCATTGATAAAACTTCTTTAACATCAAATATATTTGTTTTCAGAGTAAATCTCATATTATGATAGACGTAAACAAACACGTTTCTCTCCTAATTATTTTATATCCAAAGCATATTTCATGTTTATGAATAAAAATAATAAGTTTATTGGAAAATATATTAGTCTATTATTGTGATAAAAAGAAAAATTTCCATAAAAATAATCACTTTTTTACGAATATTTTCCTTTCACAAAAATTGTTTTTTTATTACTTTAGCCGTAGTATTTAATAATAAATATAAATTTTTTCCATTAGGAAATTTTGTTGATTCCGTTAATACAGAGTCATTATTATTAAATGCTTTTAACTTGCTTTGTATCACGTCCTCAAGTCTTGCAACTCAAATTTCTAATTAAGATAGAAGGCTGAAACTTTGAGGACATCTTCGATGACAATGCATTTTAATAACGTTTTAGCTGGTATCTCCATCCCAAAATTCGATAAACACTGTGTAAATGTGTGTGTAAACGCACCGTAGTAATGTATATGATAGTGTTTATGTCATCCCCACCATTTATTAATACGTCACTACAGTTTTTCGAGATTGGAGTGATTATACTGGGTGACTTACTCCATAACCCCACCTCAATCTTGAAATGGTCATGTTTCCCGCCATTCCAATCCCGGATTGTTTATGTTAAACAGTAGCCAATAAAAGCGTATTTTGAAATAAAATTATTTAGATTATTAAAGAAATTATTTTCTTGAATTTTTTTGTCATATATTACTCATAAATGTATGAAAAATACCCAAATATTTAACAATACGAAATATAATTATTGTTAATGTTATTATGTTATATTTAATTAATAACAATGCTTGTAAAGCTTACAAATAAATTTGTAATAAAATTAATAATTCATCCTCTATTAGCTCACAAGTAAAATGGAATTAATAGGGGGATAAAATCAGGGGAAAGGGAGTATCGAGGTTTGATAGTAACCTATATTATCAGTATATCCTATGTAAAATTTGATATAGATCGGTCAAAGGGTTTAGAAGTATATATAGCCTATATATATATATATATATATACAGTATTAACAAGTACGGATACGAATAAAAGTATAAATTTTTTATTAGTATAATCTCTGTACATTGTATTAAAAATTCCAACTATAGCAATGGAAAAAGCAATTAAATCTTCATAAAAGTATTATTTATAAATCCATAAATTAAAAAAAAAAATTTAATTTCTTCTACTCTTCCTGCTCCTATTAGCGATACTGATTAAACAGTGCAATACGTCTTTAATAAAGACGTATTGCACTGTTACGTCTTTAGTAACAAGAATTGTACAAAAGTAACTAAGAACCGCTAGAATGTACAGACCAAATACTACAAAATAAACGTTATCTCAATCCCGAACATTAAATTGCTTTAGTGCAGTTACGTGAGAAGAGAGTTTAATTTCTGACTCGAAATGTTTTGGTTTCTTCTTTTCTTCTTTTCTTTTTTAACACAGGAACACCAAACGAAGGTTACAGCCGTAGTCGTATCGTTCGATAGTAGAAGGATTCTTTCTGCAGATGTGCAAGGATATCACAGGTTTTGGATGGCCGACAGCGGTGAGCAGTTGTACGCTTGTATCAAGCCATCTGCACAATTGTACCTGCATGCCAATATTGTATTTGCTGTGTCTGGCAAAAACGAGAACAGGTAAGATAAGACAAACTTTGTTCTCTGCCCTCTTCGCTACCGATCGATAACGGAGACACTCCACTACAAACATTGATGGATTCTCCTTAATGCATTTTCAAACACCTGCTATTAAAAGTATAAAAACTTCGCCGCAATCTTTTTACCCTTCGCGTGTATAAGTTTTAATTTTTTCCCAGTTTGTATAATTTCTCTTAAAGCTATTATAACTAAATACATCTGCATTTAGCGATTTTTCTGTTACTCAACTTCTTCCAAACACAATTATTGCCATTTAGTACGACTCGCAACTTCTGATTAATAAAATTTTATCGCATCAATATGGAAAGGTAATGCTATTATAAAAATAAAATAAGAATGACGGTTATAAAATTCTAGACTTTAAATTCTTAAAATGTAAATAAAAATAAAATAATAAAGCGTGAAACTATGCAATTAATACTGTAAAGTAAGATAATACAATAGACTAGGGAGGAACTGAACGGATACAAAAAGAATAGAATATACTATTTTAATCTTTATTTCCAAATAGGGGTTAAACCTCCAAATTCCCCAAGTTTATTATTGTTTGTATACAGCAACGCGATGCATTCCAGGAGGACTTTCTATGAGAAACTGCCGCCTATAAAGGTGTTGCAAACGGGGTTCGAACCCACGACCAGTAATGCTCAATGGTTTTATCCACTTGGCTCGAGCTCCCAAATATACGGCCTTGTAACAAATATATCTCAGATATATATATATATGAATATATGTAAATATGTAGAATATAGTCTAATTATAGTACTATCATTTAAATAAAAATTTAGAAAAAATAATTAAAACTTAAAGTATTTTATTATATATACGGTAGTATTGCTTTAGGATTAAACATTAATATTTACTATAAATTTTATATTATTTTAGTACTGAAACAAAACTATTGTGATAATAAAATATGTATTAAATGATTTAAAAACAGTTTGGAAAACTGATATTATGATTGACAGTTGTCAATATTTTTCTTCTACATTTTTAACAGTTTAAAATTCTGGCCGGTATGTGATGTAGGAGCAGAGAAAACCGTTAGCCATAGCGACGCCATTTTGTGTTATACAGTGACACACAACTGCCAGACTATAATCACCGGTTCTCAGGACATGTCTTTGAAAGTATGGGAAGTGGCTACTGGTAAAATAACACAGGTAACGTAAAACCGAATCATTATCTCGCTCTTAGAAGTTAGTCATTTGGGAGACGATTTTCATTTACAGGTTCTGGTGGGTCACGACGGTGCAGTTCAGTGCGTGGCTGTTGCGCCTTACTGCCCTACCATGGTTGTATCCGGTTCGGTGGATTGTAGCCTAATTATCTGGGATATGATGACGGGAGCCGATAATCTTACACTAAGAGGTCACACAGAAACTGTCAAATGCGTTAAGCTTACTTTGGATGGAAGCGTTGCCGTTTCAGGTTCGTTTTACTCGTAATTTTTAAGCACGTTGCCATATAATCTAAATGCAAATGATTAGAGATTATGCAAAATAATTATGATTAATGTGCGTGCATAAATTCATTATAGGACTATAAATAAATATGCAAATGATCAATAAGATACAAACCATTCTTTCACATGTAAATGGTTAATAAATATGCAAAATGCCACAAGCAAGGCAAGTATTAATTTAAATTACAGTAAAAACTGTCCAAAACGGAAAAATTATTCGGTGCCGTGCGATTCTTGTTTACACAGGTTTTACTGCACATGCAAAAAAATTATTATATAGAAGTGATGAATAAATTTTCAAATAAAACACATTCAAAGTCTGTATATCTTTTAAATACATGTGTAAATGTTTTTAAAACTTTCGATTTGGTGACATGTCATAGTTACAGTCTGGTGACTAAAGGTTACAAATTCTCTATCCATTACTTAGGAGCTATAACTACTCTTCCATTAGAAGGATTGATGTGAGTTCGGTACAGTATGTCCTGAACTTGTATCACTCTTCTAATTGGAGCGTGAAGTAAGTCAGTTTAATTGAATGCTTTCTGTTGCAATGCCAGATTTATACTTTACCATTTATCTTCTTCTACATCAGGTGCCGACGACAATACGCTACAACTGTGGAATACCACCAACGGGCAAAGAATAGCCATGTTAGATCTTCACGTGGCTATGATAACTATGGTAACTTCCGTTAATGTCAGTGATATAGTTGTCCAGCTGGTAAATCAGCAACAGCTCTCGATATTAAGTCTGCATAATAATCCAGCCAAAGGACTAACACTCGAACCACCAACTTGCTTATCCATGTCAGAAGAGACAAAGTTAACAGGTAAGTATAACGAATTAACATACACCATTTTGCATCATTCACAAAATTCTTCCTTTTACAGGGATCCCTGCCAGAGGTGTGCTGCCCAAACGCGTTCTACTCAGAGGCAATCTGAAGAGGGAACAGTCGTTCGATTCTCTGTATTGGGATCTGAGATCTAACACGCCTAGACTGGAGCCCAGCACGGGCCTTGACGATTTCAAAAGATCTCTTATGGGATCGCGCGAGCAGTTATCGCATGTGGGAGTGTGGGATGGATCACTAGGTCGTGTACGTAGTATGCAGCCGGAGGGACTGCCCCTGCAACCTAAAGCCAAGTTACCAAAGCACAAACTTCTTAAAAAACAACAGAGTATGTTCGCGTTTTTTCCCGAGTTTTCGTCGCAACCCAAGTCTATAGTACAAACCCCCAAGATGGAGCTGGAAAGCAAGCAAGAACTATCGAGAACGCCGGAAACGGTTCACGAATGTCCCAGTAGATCGGAAAGTTCCGAAGAAGTGGACAACCCAGAGAGTCATGTAGATAGGAAATCTGCTTCGGTCAAGGATTCGTCCATCTGTCGCATCGTGTAATGTGCCCAATTGAAAGAGCAATAGCTATCAAAGCACACGTTAACTAAGCGATTAACAATCATACGTGAGTGTCGTGCATAATGTTTATCTGTCTGTAGAATAGAGAAAACAAAATGGACTCACTCCCTCGCCGCAACAAAAAAATGTCGTCTGTAGTTCGAGAAGTGTTTGTGTGATTTGCATCAGTTTTATGTTTTTAACGGCTGGTTGAAGGTTGACGAGTTCGATCCGAGCTTCGATTGATCATGCGATCAACAAACTCATCCATTAAAAACGTAATCAAAGTTACATTTCATCATCTTCGTAATGGCGGATTACGGGAATGATTTCTGAATGTACTTCGTGAAAAATAAATAAGCCAATCACGCAATACACAAAAGTAATTCAAGAAACAATCGAATCACAAAATTAATAACATTATTCCTTGTAACTGACGTAACAAATTTGTCACGTGATCAATCGAAGCATTCACCATCGCGATCGAATGGAGTTTTTTCGTTTTTTTTAAACTTAAAGAAAAAAATGATCATGATATGTAGATAAACCTCGTGTATAGTACGAATTTTAAAAACCCAGAGCGATTATAGTTCTGACTATGCAAAGTATACATTTAGCGATATTCATTCCTCCTAAGAAAAGCGCTTGAAGAAATCGAACCCGGAACCCTTAAGCTGTTCATTTTTTGCGCAAAGCAACGTCCCACAACATATACCTTTGCATCAGCACATTATATTGCACTAAAATGCATTAATTTATCGAGTTTACCATAAAATATATACCTAACGAATTACATTTATATAAACAATCATTTTTAACCAATCAAAATCCTTCATATTCGAATTTGAATTTTAAAACCTAGGCGAGGACCAAATTGATGGTTGCTAAGCAACAAACAGCATCCATGTTACTCTGCAGCTGGCTGGGAACAAAAATTGATAAATAAATAATGTACACAAACCTATAATTAATTTCGCGTGTTCGATATCATTTATGTTTTAAGCGAGTATTGGTTGTGATTTTGTTTTTAAAATATTAATAAAAAGTCGTAAATAAATAAAACAATCTAAAATTATTTTTAAAGTTTTCAATATTTATAAATAAATAAATAAAAATAAAAATATATATATATATTGTAAATGAAATGAATATTTTAATGATCTATGCACATGGGAAGTTAATAATTAAAAACAATTGAATTTTATAGGATTTTTTTTAAAGTTTGGAGTTTTATCTTTCTGTTGCGTGCCCACCTTTTTACAGGTGAGCATCGATTGGAAGTAGATGAACTTATTCAAATAATATGCAACAGAAACTATACAAATTTGCTTTTTCCTTTTTGTTTCTTTTGTATCCACCACCTTATCCATGCACTGGATATTAGCATAGTTAAACATTGTGCCACAGATTCTTTGTGTATGTTGGTTTGCACACATGCAATAAAATGTTTTGTAAATGATGTTTGATTTTTTTCCTTGCAACGATTACAGTATATAAATATAAAAGTCGACAAATTTAATTTCGCTCCTCTATACGTAGCACTTGATATTGGTACCGGGTATTGGGCTGGTTGGGTTCTGGCTTATGAAGCCAAATTTTGGAAGAGTGATAGGGCAATCTTCTAAAGATAATGCCTCTCGAGAGGACTTTTATAGGAAACGCCCTATTTAGGTGCTAGACACTTGAAGAAAACGCCACGCCAACTTGCTACTAGGCACGAACCTACGACCACTGTCCAATAGCTTTATCCACTCGGCAACTGGTGGGCTTAATTTTTCCCTTATTAGCGTATGCATTTATCCTTACAATAAGTTACTAATTGATTAACTACATATTTCAAATACATTGCTGTTTATCACTTTGTTATAAATCGAATTACTTCAATGTAAATTTCAACGTAAGAGGAACCTGAGATAGAGGGCGCTAATGTCTATTGGGTCGAGCGCTTGTAGAACCCTGATCTGCTTAGTATGCATGTAAAGTATGAATACACAGCATGACCCAATAGTCAGATTTTTTAGAACGATCAAAATTCGGAATAATCGCATGTAGCTGTTCCAAATCGTTTTCAAAATAATCATAGAATGTATCTCGGTTAACTAAATTTTGGAACAAACTTTTATTATAGTTTTTCATAATTCGACAATTATTATTGGCTAAATAAATTAAATATATACACAAGGTTCTAAGAGGAATACAGGGGCTTAATCCCTCTCTATTGATAAAAACAATTAAAATTTATTTGTTAGAACTGTCCACAACGTAATCCTCTTGCAAATGTTTATATCAATAAAAGGTCATTATTAATTATTCGAATATCTTTAATTTTTGAGTTAGCCCACCTCTGGATTCTTATGGATCAGCTGTTAAATTAATTATGTTGGTAGTATTTTAATATACAGTAATTGATATATGCTAATCATACAGTATAAGATTGTGTGTATCATTTTTGGATAACATGCATTCGATGTATCAAGTCGTATATGAAATATTGATTTAGTAAGAAATTATAATTTATTTTTTAATATAAATCTGCAATGAAAAATTTCAATTTAGGAAACGTTATCTTGTGAACTTTTTCTTTATAATTGACTTTCCACAGATGTCTTCTAGCGACGAATTACAATTGAAAACTTTACATTTATCCCAGAATAACTGACGATAATTTGTTCATTACTTAGCAAATTATCTAAATTAAGCAATCGAAATTCTATAATCTAAAAATTTAGCCAGATCTTACAATAAATATGGGGAAAATAAACCAATTTTCGAAATTTCAGACAACAGTTGTTACAATCATAAACAAGATATTTGTGAAAGTAATTATAATTTTCATTTACCACTCTGGGGTTATCTGGGCTGGTTCGAATCCAGACGGTCGAAAAATCCTAAGAATTTTTCGGGAGTGATTTGTTCTAGATAAGTTGGGCCTAGTCCCTCATCATCTGGCTGTCCCCATTGTGAACTTCGCCAGACTCACAATGGGCGTAAAAAAGGCCCATGGTACCCCAAGACAGAAAGAGTAAAAGAAAAAATTATATATATATATTTCAGGTTTAAAATATATTTTTTTTTTCTAGATTTATGGGTTAAACAATGCTATAAGAATATTTCTGAATGTTTATAATATTGTAATGTAATAGGTTATTTAATATACAGTCAAACTTCTGAACAAGGGCAGTTGACGGAAACATAAATTTGGTTATTGCAGATTATGCGATCAGTATGCAATTTTGTTCAAAAAAAAGTTTCCCAAAAAATAGCCGTTGTGTAGAGATGAGGTTCGACTGCGTAGTTTACAATTTTCCTATTTAATGAAGTTTTGTTTAAAAGTATTTTAGATAAAATTTTATTCAAGATTGGATAATAACCAGCAATTATTTATTGTGACATCGTCACAATGCAGGGATGCAATTTTTCGTTACAATGCTCTCAATTTTAGTAGTGTCTTTCCACTGTACATCATACTTTTCCTATTAACAATGGAATCATCTAACTCTCCGTTCAAGAGAAAAATTTTGAATTAAGATAACGTAACTTCCGATTCCGGAAGTTCAGAACCGGGACACCAGCTTCTAAGCTTTTCATATCTGGTCTCGACTTTCCTTTATCTAACTCCGTTCTCAAGATTAAGAAAGAATAGACTGACTGACTGACAGACACCAGTGGGTATTTACAGGTCTGAAATTTTTTAAAATTGCAGCCCAATAATAAAACAATAAACACTGTAGTTGGTCGTGGGTTCGCGCCTCGCCAACGGGTTGGCTACGTGGAGTTTTCCGAGATTTTTCACGTTAGTAATTCTTAAATAGGGATCAGTTTCCCATAAAAGACCTCTTGGGAGCCATTCCCCCTAAACAGATTGCTTATGTGTCGCAGTTCCGTATACGAAGAAAGAAATAATAATAAATTAAATTTCTAAATTATTAATTTATAGAAATTAAGTGAAATTACTGTTATTATATTTTAATACATTGTGATAGAAAAATAGTAAATATTTATATAAATTAACACATTATATAATGTCTTGTATACATTTATATAGTCAAATATATCGTCTGTAACTTATTTGAAACGCCAATGTTAAATAGCTTCCTGAATTTATACGTTTACCAATAAATAAATTAGAATAATTAGTAAATTATCTATATCCATTTCCCATCAGATCAGCAATGGATGGATGTGTGGATAAGGAATGGTAAACAACATACCGAGCCGAACTAACATAACTGGAATATGAGCAATCATTTATTGTGACAACGTCACAATAAATAATTGCAAGCTTGGCATCATCACAATGCCAAGCTGCAATTTTTAATCATATTTTTGATTTATTTAATTTAAAATACTGTATATGCTCTCCACCTCAATTTAATAGTGGTTTGCCCCTGTACATCATACTTTTCCTTTAACAATAATGTCGTGCTTGTCATCTATCTAACACCTTTCGGGGAAATATTTTTTAATTGAAATAACATTACTTCCGGTTTGATAAGTTCGTATATAGTTAATCGGGCTTTCTGTCCCTAAGGTTTGCATATCTGGTGTCGACATTCATCTATCTAACTCTGTTCTCGAGATTATGGAAAGACGAACGGATGGACAACAGTGGGAATCTATTGGTCTACAATTTTTTCAAATTGCAGCCCAACAAAACCGAATCTTTTAAGCAGTATAATAAATTCTGTTAAACTTAAAATTTAGATTTAAAAATTTGTATATTGTCCTTCAGTCACTGTAGTCGTGCTATTACAGTTACAAGCTATTAGGCCTACTTTTCCGCCTGTTATATATAACGTAACAGGAGGAAAAAGTATGACGATCGGTAAAAAGTGACTCCCCGTATATTTTTACATTTTTGAATTCAGGTTACCTTGAAATGTCGAGCAGCGCAAAAACAATTCGTGTTTTTTTTTTTCTATATGTATGGATGTTAGTGTGTATGTGGAGGGCATTCTTTTGCTTACTCTCTTTGAAGCTTAATAACTCCTGTGCTTTTTGTCGAAAATTGCTGAAATTTTGCAAGGAGGATTGTGTATTAGAGGGATTTATGCTATTAATTTTTTACAAAAATTTAATAGCATCAATCCCTCTAATGGAAGAGTCAACGAGGTGGGAAGATAGAGGTAGTAGATTTGTCGTATCTCGAGTGGGGATTGATTTTACTCGTTATTAGTATTTACAATTATTATTTTTTTTTTTATAAAACTCATCTCTACCCTCAAAATTAAGCGTTTTGCCATTTTATAATAATTAATAATATTAAATTTTTTAAATTAATTATTATACTGTAACAGATGGCGCCACACGCAATTTTGAATTTTGTTGACGGGAAAGTTACGCAACTGGTTGGATTTTATATAAATATAATCGTTTATGTCAACTAATAAAGTTGCATATGTGCGCAAATATATATTCAATCTTTTCGTATATCAGTAATGCAATTTTTCTTAAATAATGCATATGTTGTCATATTTTTCCTAAAGAGAAAAATATTTAAGGGCTTGTTATAGGATAAAACCCTATTTTTATCGAAACGTGCAGCATTAAATATAAAAGTAAGATGTGTTTATCATCCGTTCGACTTCGTCTTTTGTGTGCAATTTTTTTTCGATCGTTTTATCTGTGACATATTTAAAAATTTGACATTTGAAAGAAACGATCTTTTCGGAATGAATTTTTTAATGTTATTATAAACAAAAAACTCTTCATTCGAGTTATTCCTTAAGGCGATTAAAATGATATACAATCAAATCCAATAGACACAATACAAATCACTCAATAGAAAAAATTGTATTTGCAGACATTTTCAACGGACAGATGGCGCTAGTAGACGGTAAATGCAAGCTTCATTATTTTAATGCCTAGAATATGTCGGGCACTGTCCCTCCATTGTGGGCCTGACCAAACCGATAATGAACTTGCTTGGGCCGTCTTAGTGCTCACAGGGCTGGAAAGACATTTAAATACAGCATTTCTTACAATTTATAATAGGAAATCTATAACAGTTATTGCAAAATGAGCTAGTAAAGCGAATCTATGACACTAAAACTAAAGTTGTGTCTTGATATTCAATATATCGATTAGATTAGCTTTGAATAATCAATAATTAATCGATATTTTTTGTCGATTTAATTATTGATTATCATTAAAAATTGTAATATCGAATTCAAGAACGGGACACAAATTGTTACTAATTACAATTCGCATTTTTCAAAGTAAAGTGACATTTAAAATGAATAAAGTCAGTAACACAAACGTGCAACTATTCGACCAGATGACTACTAGAGGTCATTGTCGGTCGGTCATACTGTCACGTGCTGGACAGATATAAGTTAGTATACAGCACACGCCTGTGTTGTGCACCCAGTTGACGATATTGCAAAATTCTTGAAACAATTTCCGAAACGTTGCAATGATCTGTGAAAAGTTTTTACAGAGATTTCAAGTAACGAAGACAAATGCAAATTGTGCCAAAAGATATCCAAAATTAGCAAAAACACAAGTAAGATGTATTGGTAAAGGTGTAAAACACACTTTTGGTAAATGATGCAAATAAGCTTCTTACCTGTTACGTTTGAAGGTGCATCTCAGTTGACTTCCTCTTGTATGACGAACTACCCGGAACAAAAACCAACAGTAGTCTACGAACTTAGAACAATCCAATTGGTCGTGGTAACATTTTCCCATTCACACTGAATTCCTAACGGAAACGTTCTCCCTGCTTATCGTTTACGGCACCCAAATTATCCGAAAATAAATTTAACAGTGATCTGTTCTTGAGATTGAAATCTCATGCAACATTCAGTACTAATACCTGTTGATATATTGCACTCTCAATAAGTTCCTATTCCCTGTTTAAAAAGCCACTTTCATTTACACAGGTTTTTTGTGTATAATCTCAAGTTCAGTCCTTAAATTCAAGATTGAGTATCTCATACAAAGCAATTCAAATTTAGATGTGAATGGAAGAAGTTCAGCTTAAAGGACATGCGGAACACAGGTTCTTGACGCTATACAGAAAATTATTTGCAAATTCCACAGTTGGAATGCTTTGTATTTCCAAGAAAACTATAACGATTTCCATGCTGCCGATTTCAATCAATTCATTCTTATTTGAAATTCCCTGTCTTTGAGCAGTCTTCTTATATGAGACCTTATGAAAACTCTTTCTATGATCTTAGGACCACTCCATCCAGAAAAATTTTTCCTTGTATGTAGGCGCTTTCAATCCTGTCAAAAATTTTCACGAATGCTCTCATAAAATCAAGTTTGAAGTGAAGTGGACGCAGTGTTACTTTATGAATTGGACTAAAGGTGGATGAATTACGTTTTCGCTTGTGTTTACTGTAATTATGAAGTTTCGGCCAATCTCTCTTGATGTAACAGTTTGTTGTGTTGAAGCACTTATGTAGACAGAGATGGTACTAGTGCTTCTTGTAACTTCCCTGCAGATTAAAAAACTTGTGTATATAGTGCAACAACTTTAAGTTCACTGCAGAATTACAAAAATTTGTACTTGATCTCAGCGAAGAGTGTGATGTTTCCTTCTCTCTTACAGTATAAACCAGGAGAATTGAAAGTCGACTTACTTTCATTATGCTGGCGTGTAGCTTTCAAGGGGAATGTACCGGTACACAAATCTACAAAAAGATGCCATTCATGGGATTGTAGCTGAGAGTTCATGTGAGTCCTAACACATCTTTACATGGCACACATTGAATTTTCCATTGCAAAGAATGATTCCAGAATCCTACTGCAAATCCTATATAAGCCTATTGAAATTTTGCTACCAGGTGCAAGTAAATTCTAATGCAATCTTAGGCGCTCGGCTTGTTAATAAAATAATTTCGTATTACGCATTAAATCGTTAAGCTCCTTTTGGTTTGGATGAATTGACTTTCTGCATTATATTTGTTTGAAGACAAAGATAAATTCTCTTTGTCACGTGACATGTTCAAGTCCTTGTGGTACGTAGGACGATGCCTTAGAAATTGGCAAATTCTCACTATATAGCACTGATTTCATTGCGGCGGGTACTGTACATCAGTATACGTAATGTTATTTTTACTTTTAGAGAAATAACCATGAAGTACAGTGAGACAAAAATAGTAATCTTTCCTGCAGTCCCTTGGTTCATATTTTACAACTGGTACAGCAAAATTGCACGGCATAATGGCACATTCAAACATACTCTGCGTTACAGTACAAATCACACAACACACGTGGATCCCATAGCCGGTCTTGATCACCCAGCGGACAAACAAAGTGTAGTCACTGTGCTATCTTCACGTATTCTCTTATGTTCTTGCTCTGAGATTTTGGGGTTATTTGCCACAAATAAAACAAAATATGTTTAGATCAAACAGCCACGGGTTCGGACATCGATATAAGTTATCACAAAGTACTGCAGGGTTCACTGAAATCACTACACCCGACACGCACTATACACTACAGGTGCATTGATAACATTTATTTATCCAACGGCACAACTTTAAACAATTGTCACTAGTTCCGGTAACCATACATACAAACAAGACTGAACAGTGAACAGACAAATGACTATTTAGAACACAAACGATCTATAGTGTTGCCAGATTAAGACTAAACCATTCCTATCTTTTACCAGATATGACGTCAATCAGCTCGAAAAAGGTACGTGAGGGGAATATTTGAATGACAAATCCGAAATTAGTTAAACACGTTTACTTTCAGGATTCAAAATGGTTGCTTCCTAGAATCATTTAATAAATTAACATTGATAATAATAAACAAAATATAAAAGGTTTTTTAATATGTATTATTTACATTTACTCATCTGAAATCTTTTAATTTATAATACTACAACAATGCTTTTATAATAGAATATATTTTATTTACAAATATAATCAATCTCTTTGTACATTTATATAATAACAACAAAATTTATCAACAGTTCTTTCACTTAAACTAATATTTTTTCTATAACCGAATCTCATTTAAGCTCTATATGTTGGAATAAATTAAACGCACTTAATGCCAGATTATATTTACTTTTCACCTTTCTTGCAGGTCATTATATAGAATTATACTGGATAATATCCAGTCTGTGATAAATATACAGCTTTGTAATGAAGTTGTATAAAAATTTTGATATAACATTCTAATTTACACTTGAAAATTTAATTATAATTAATACTATATACAACATTAAGCATTGTGCAATAACAATGCATGGATATCTCCATAAATGGATAGTAAAATGCCACAGTTGAAGTAAATGTGACAAAGTACATCAGTCTATATGCACCACTTGAATTTGTTCTTGAAACTGGCTTCTTAGATAATAGATTTGTACTCTATAAATTATAACAATCTCTAACGATAAAATTCTTCTGTATAACTTGTGGATCTTTGATTTTCACATAAAATATGTCTCATTTTGATATTGAACTTGTTAAATCATTTGTGATGTTTCGTCAGTACAGTATTTATAAATAGGTAATAAAATATCTTCTAATGCTGTGAAAGCATGTGTCCCATATTTCTTAACTTGGAATATGTAAATATTTTATTTAGAATGTATTTAAATATCAGAATTCAACATCCCATCCAGTATCATCATCTCGTGGAGGTCCTTCTGTCTCTGGTGGATATGGATCGAAGTTGCTGGTATCTAGCACATTTTGAACCTGTAAAATATATGAAACAATACTGTAAATAAAGTCAAATTTTTTAATTTGGTAATATTATCATTAAATTTAATAATGTAAGTATATTAAACATTATTTTAAAAAGTAAATCATTATTGATTTTCAATCAACTGTGATTAGAACTGAACTTTTATTTTGTATGATCAAATTACAAATATTTTGATAAGGATTTCAATTACAATAGTAACATCACTGAAATCTGAATAAAATTGTATGTAACTGTGGTAAAACCTGTGTACACTGGAATCACACAGTATCAAATATTTTTACTGGTTTGGCAGGTTTATGTTTTGAACAGTGCCCAGTAATCTCAGTTTTATTGAATATCATCGGATCTATCTTAAAAGATATATCAGCTCAATATGCTGAAGATTGACAAATTACTCAGAAAAAATCACAATCTTGACAACAGGAAAATGGCATTACAAAGATTCAAAATTAGAAACATTTCATAGCTTCATAACTATTTTCCTTGTAAAGCTCTAATTTTTTATAACAAAACAATACAATTTATGCTCTTTATATTATTTTTTCTATTAAAAATAAGATAAGAATAGAATACTGTTGAAATACTAAACACACAAATTAGTATTCAGACAATATCCAAATCTTCTCTTAATGGATAGAATTCTTAACATTATACAATTTATTTTGAGAAAAGTAAATTAATATACTGTATATCATAAATGGTTTGACATTTCAGTAAAAGAAAGTTAACATTGAAAGTAAATGTAAAGCTAACATATCTTTACAAGTACCTGTAAAGTATTTATATAAAAATACTTTATTTTTTTATATGTAATTTCATCTTCTATACTGGAAACTTAATCAGATATGAGTTAAACTCAATTACAGAATACAATAGTTATGCCATACAACTGCATATTGTATTCTGTAATCAGATTTAATTAATATAGTAAAACAATAAAAGTAACTACATAGAAACTATTCTAATTTTTAATTTCGTAATATAATCTTGATAACATTAAATGACAAATTGGACATAATATACAATATTTTTTCTTATGTATTACTGCTAATTTTCTGACAAAAATAGCCCATAAAGTTTCATAACAATATTCACATATTAATGTGCTGCATATATATATACATATATATATACCATAATATTAGAGATGTTCTGATACCACAAAATATTGATACCAGTGTCAGTATCGATCTTAAACTATCAATACCAGTCAGTATCTGCATTGGGTATCGAAATTGGAAATCTTGCTGGCTGATACTGTTCAATCTGTGGCTTGATTTAGAAATGTTTTCTGTAATTGAAACTTTGAATTTTAACATAAATAACATGCTTTATTCTGGTTAGTTATTATTAATAAATTATTAAAACTGATTTCTAATATAAACTAAATGTTATCAGTACTGTATCACTTGATTTGAAATTTAATATATTTTCAAGTGTTTCAAAATAATTGGCAAATTATTTATAAATAGTAATCTTAGCTTTATACTGTACATAGCTTCTGAAAATGAAATTTGATGTAATAAATTTATTGAGTTTTGGTTATTAATATTTATTATACAAGTTTAACTTAACCAAAAATAGTGTAAAATTTTATTTCAGTTTCAGCAGAAACTTATATTAAAACCCAAATCTGGTTTTGGTTTTGGATTCAGCTGCAAAATTTAATTTCAGTTGGATCTTACCTGTCTGTGAAGAACATAATGATACCAGATCTGAAATTGAAGGAAAAGCATTGATACCAGTATTGGTATCTGACCAAATTGTCAAGTACAAAAAAGAAAAAAGTATCAATATGGTATCAGTATCAGCAGTATCAAGACATCCCTAACCATAATTAACATTAATATAGTCCAAAATTTAATTCCTTACAATAAATGAGATTAAACACTTGAACTAATTATTTTTAATTTAAATATTTGCTTAAATCACTCTGATATTTTAATTATTATTGATTATAAAGAAATGTTATCATTTGAATTATATTTATGCACATTATGTCTGTGGCTTGGCACAAAAAAAATGCCAATGTCAATATTTATCAAGTTGCACCTAAGTCAGCATTTTAAATATTGACATAGACATTAGCACAGCTCGTTTTGTTTCTTCCTATTTATATTATAACTTTGGCATACACACACATAAAAATGTTATAAAACTTTATAGATTTATATCACAACATAAGCAATAATACAAAAATTAAGAAATCTATAATTTTAACCCACATTGCCATTAGAAATTAAGATTTTAAATTATATTAATAAAATAAAAATTAGCATAATTTTCACATAGTTTACTACAACAAAACTCTTAATAAAATTTAAATATTGATAAATTCATATATTCTATATGTGCCTTATAAAATTCAATGTAAACATTTTCAAATATTAATAAAATTTATAAATTTTAATATTATGTAGATTAACAACTATTGTGATTCTTTATCTTATTTGTGCATTAGATAATACCATTGTTCTTAACCAAAAGCTTTGTTTTTCATATTTATTAGAAAGATAAAGTTTTTATGTATTATGATTTTAGCAATTTATCTTATATATTATTGTTTGTCATTATAGATGTTACTTAATAAACAAATCAATTTTCATGTCTTTCTATAAAATACAAAATATACAGAAATCAAATATTATTAATTTTATAATTGATAATTTAAATAAAGTAAAGCCTATTCTTGATTTTTGTAAGTTAGACAGCTATAATGTTCTAGAATGTAATTAATAACTATAAATAAATAACTGAAATCAATGAATTTTTAATTGTTCTTTGTATGTAAAAAAATTCATAGAATTCAAAAGATATATAAAATAATTATAAAGACTGATTTAATAATAAATATGCTTTGAAAAATCAGGCATTGATATGGTAAGAAAAGCTCATCATCTGATTCTTCAGTTCAGTTGGATATTTAGAATAAATTTTATTTGCTTCAGTTCTGTAAAGTAACATCAGAACTAGTTTCTAATAACAATATATTTTCCACCAATTTTAAATTATAATATTTAAAATTCTTCTCTGTCACTATCAATAACAGACATTTTTGAAGTGGTAATTTAATCTGTGGCAATAAAGTTTAGAATAAAAACAGTCTTTCAATTATTTCATTTATTTTAAATGGACATTATTAAGTAGAGAAACCTAATACTTACTAATGGAAGAATTGGAGGAGTGAGAGTTCGGTTACGAAGTCCTTCCCAATTAAAACCATCAAACCACCTATAAAATCATTACATGATTATTTCTTTTAATTATTTTTTTTCAATTTAATTTTTACAATGTTTATAATTATTTATATCTTACTTGTGTTTTTGAATATCTTTAATCCCTCCTTTCTGATATCCTAACCTCTCTGTAGGATTGTCACTAAAATTATAAATTTAAAGTTAATTTTGCCTTNGATATTTTGAGTTTAGAGATAAATTATTTATTTATTTTTTGAATTAATTTTTACTTTCCAAATGTAAAAATTAAATATTCTTTACTGATTTAATTTAAACAAAATATTAAATCTACTAGAGGATTTCATTAGACTACTAGAGGATAGACTTATTTCATTTACATAATCAATAGTGAAATGGAAAAATGATAAAGCTGTTTCTCTTATTTTGGATGCCTTCTATCAATGTTTTAATCTTTCAAGAACAATTTATTTTATTTATAGCATAATATGTTTTATATTATACAAAATATTAGAAACAAGTTATTTTCATAAAAATTTATTTAATGTATTAAAACAATAATTTAGAAATTTGGGAAATAAGGGTATGTTTCTTGGAATTCACTGTCATTATTAAAATGTTAATAACAATTGGGAAGAAAATGTATCCTACCATAAAAAGATTATAAGAATTTCATAAGAGATGGCCTATTTAACAGATGGTAAATTGTCACATTCTACTTTAACTTAAATGTTTGATTGGATTAAATCTCTTTCAAACTGATATCAATAATAGTTTTAAAAAAAAAAAAAACATTACTCTTAATATATTTAAATTGTACTTTTTCTATTACTTTATCTAAAAATTATGCAATATTTTTTTCTGAAATATTTTCATAATTTTTATAATTTGTGCTTTCTATTTTAGTTTCACTATATAATTTATTTATTAATCTTAAAAAGTAATATTTTAATAATTTAATATTTACCAATTTTACATAGCCTTTGCAATCTAAAAGCATGTTTTCAGGTTTCAGATCCCTATAAATTATGTTGCGCTCATGGAGATAATCAAATGCTTCAACTACACAACCTGTATAGAATCTTGTTGTCATATCATCAAAAATACCCCTGAAAATTCAACACAGTTTTATTAAATATATTAAAATTAGAAATTTCTTTATAAAACAGAAATTATACCTGTCCCGAAGTATCGTCCATAATTCGCCACCAAGACACGCTTCCATTAGCATATAAAGAAACTTCCTATCCTTGAAAGTTTTATATAGCCTGAAAAGAGTTTACATATCAATTTATTACATCAGTATATTAAAACAAGAATTAATGCAAATAAAATCTTACACTGAAATGAAAAAACTATATTTAAGATTTTAATTGTACAAGTTATTATGTTCCTTCCTTTTAAATAAAACATTTTCAAACTATTGTTATCTTCTCTTTTGACAACTTAAAGAGTTAACAGTTTACTGACTGTAATAAACTTTCAATTTACAGAAATTTAAATTCAGTCAATAAACTTTATTGATACATTAATTTATCTAACAAGATTCACATAATCTTCAGAAATGCATAAAGTTAGAAATTCCACTGTTTTTAAAATAATCACACTAAAAATTTTATTGTTTTATTTAGTTTTATCATCAAAGTTCTACAATTGTATGAATCACTAGTGTAACTGTTTTTACTTATGAAAATAAAATTCAACTAATGTATTTGAATTCAATTTTCACTATATTAAAAACTCAATTTTTTATTTTAACATATTTCAATATCTTTGTCTAGATCATATCATAAAAGACTAATAAAACAAGCTTACAATCTTTTGATACTGTTAATGAACTTCATATATATATCTTTTCAATTTTTTATCATGTCTGATGACAAATATGCAATCAATAGGATGACTATCACGCCAAATTAATGTATAATAATAATAAAAATAAAGACACTGAGTTCAGCGTTACATGCATACATTTTTTGTCACAAGCACTTTCGACGAACTTATAGTCGTCGTCCTCAGGCGAATACAAATATTTTCTGGAAAAATTTAAACAGAAATAATCTGATGTAGAATAGAACGCATAAAATGTAAGTTGAAACTTTGTCAAAGCCGTTTAGAACACGAAGCAAATATTCAAATATAATTTGAAAGCCAAACGAGCAGTTAGTTCCGTGAAGTGTGAGCTGGCGTATGCGCAGAACCAGGCTCACGCTACACGCAAACTGGAGAATGCTAATACTTGCTTAAACGCTTATATAGCATGGCCCATACACTGGGAAGATCAAGCTTAGGGGTGTTGCAAGTGTCCAAGGTGGTAGTAAGGAAAGATTCCCATATGAAAACGATTTTTTGATCCTTGCAGCTCCTGAGCATAATCACTTGGGACCATAGCGGGTTATAACCCTGCTCAAGTACTTTTTTTGCGAGCTTGGTGGTGTGCCTACCCCTCATAACATCATCTTGGTGCTAAAGACGATGTTATGAGGGGTAGGCACACCACCAAGCTCGCTTACTTTTAATCTAAATCTCCTAATAATTTAATTTAAAATGTAACTTAAAACATTACAAGAACTGAACAGAACTGAAACTGAATAAAACTGGAAATTAACAATTTGATAAAATTTTATATTTTAATATTTATACCACTTTGAACAGAAACTGAACATCTATCAGAAATAAATGAATAATTTATATGCTTACTTGACAATAAAATCACAATTCGTTTCTTCCATTATTTTCTTTTCAGACATAATATGTTGCTGCTGCCTGGTTTCTACAATTTGAGCTTTCCTCATTACTTTAAGGGCGAAAGATCGTGAGGGATCATTTGCAATTTGAACCTAAATTAAAATTTTCATGAGTAATCTAATTACATAACTAAGCACAGTTGTAATAAAAATTTTAGTTTTACTAAAGAAATTAATTTTTCTATTATTAAAAAACTAAATTTATCATATACTTTCTCTCTCTCTCTCTCTCTAAATAAGATAAGAATAGAATACTGTTGAAATACTAAACACACAAATTAGTATTCAGACAATATCCAAATCTTCTCTTAATGGATAGAATTCTTAACATTATACAATTTATTTTGAGAAAAGTAAATTAATATACTGTATATCATAAATGGTTTGACATTTCAGTAAAAGAAAGTTAANTCACTTGAGGCATTTCATTCTCAGTATGTAAAAATTAATTCTGAAGTTAAATTTGAATCTCTCTGAAATTCATATATTTTTTTAAACACTTTTTATTAAGTATAATTGAAAAATTACTGCTAATGAAAGAACTAATTAAAGAATACATTTAAAATATACTTTTCATAATAATTCAATAATATTTATATTTATATTATTAAACTGAATATGAAAATTAATTACCAGTTCAACTCTTCCAAATCCACCAACTCCAAGTGTTGATACTACTCTTAAATCAGTTAACTTTATATTAGAGAATTGTTCATTTATCCTAGAATAAGATTAATTTAAATTTATTTATCATGATTACATTGTAAATATTTAATAAATTAAAAATTATTTGCTTATAAAATTAATTTTTTAATAATTTTTAAATGGATACTTTTTATCTTTTAGTATTTTGGAACGATCACTATTCAAGTCATTGCCCACCATAATGATATACACAGTTATCATAATGTGTTTTAAAGATCCCAATAACAATGTTAATATCATAAAGGCAAATTCTTCTTGAAATGAATGGAATGGCTTTAGGGTAATATTATATCTTACCTTTATAGTTAATCCTGGGTGCAGTAAGAAAACTTTTATTTTATTATAAAATATAATACTATTTATATACTAAATAATAGCTTTCATTTTACTGTTGAGTATAATTAATAACAATACTAATTTTTACCTTTTTCTTGCTGGAGCTTCATCATAACGTTTGGTTTTGATTTCATCTATATTGCTTATTAATTGATTAAATGACCTAAGAAAACATATTTAATTAATAATTGTTAACTAGTTGTAAAAAAATTAATAGTTTAAGATTTTATTAAAAACTCACTCTCTATCAATGACTAGACAAGTTACACCATCACGATCATTTGCAATTATGTTTGCTGTCCTTACATCTTCTCTGCAGAAAATAATAAATATTAATTAATGTAATAAAATAAGCTATTAAACTATAACACTATATAATTACTTACCCTTGGAGAGCTTTTTCTCCAAAAAAATCACCTCTATGAAGTTTCCTAATAAATTTTTCTTCATCATTATCTGGCAATTTCATTGTTACTCTAACCTATAATAATAAACAAAAGTTAATGAAGTTATTTATGTTAATTTCATGTTTCTCTTCATGTTTATAAATACAGTCGACCCCCCTATAATTACGGTCCCTATAGTTACGATTCCTATAAAACTACAAAAAAATTGCTACCGGTATCCGTAAAAAATAGTAAAAGTTCCCTATAAACACCTCAAACGTCTTCGGGAAGCCGAACTACTTTCCCGCCGTCCGTAGCGCCACGCTACGGAGAGATTTCTATCGTCTGGACAGTATNAATTCTTAACATTATACAATTTATTTTGAGAAAAGTAAATTAATATACTGTATATCATAAATGGTTTGACATTTCAGTAAAAGAAAGTTAACATTGAAAGTAAATGTAAAGCTAACATATCTTTACAAGTACCTGTAAAGTATTTATATAAAAATACTTTATTTTTTTATATGTAATTTCATCTTCTATACTGGAAACTTAATCAGATATGAGTTAAACTCAATTACAGAATACAATAGTTATGCCATACAACTGCATATTGTATTCTGTAATCAGATTTAATTAATATAGTAAAACAATAAAAGTAACTACATAGAAACTATTCTAATTTTTAATTTCGTAATATAATCTTGATAACATTAAATGACAAATTGGACATAATATACAATATTTTTTCTTATGTATTACTGCTAATTTTCTGACAAAAATAGCCCATAAAGTTTCATAACAATATTCACATATTAATGTGCTGCATATATATATACATATATATATACCATAATATTAGAGATGTTCTGATACCACAAAATATTGATACCAGTGTCAGTATCGATCTTAAACTATCAATACCAGTCAGTATCTGCATTGGGTATCGAAATTGGAAATCTTGCTGGCTGATACTGTTCAATCTGTGGCTTGATTTAGAAATGTTTTGTGTAATTGAAACTTTTAATTTTAACATAAATAACATGCTTTATTCTAATAACCATGCTTTATTCTGGTTAGTTATTATTAATAAATTATTAAAACTGATTTCTAATATAAACTAAATGTTATCAGTACTGTATCACTTGATTTGAAATTTAATATATTTTCAAGTGTTTCAAAATAATTGGCAAATTATTTATAAATAGTAATCTTAGCTTTATACTGTACATAGCTTCTGAAAATGAAATTTGATGTAATAAATTTATTGAGTTTTGGTTATTAATATTTATTATACAAGTTTAACTTAACCAAAAATAGTGTAAAATTTTATTTCAGTTTCAGCAGAAACTTATATTAAAACCCAAATCTGGTTTTGGTTTTGGATTCAGCTGCAAAATTTAATTTCAGTTGGATCTTACCTGTCTGTGAAGAACATAATGATACCAGATCTGAAATTGAAGGAAAAGCATTGATACCAGTATTGGTATCTGACCAAATTGTCAAGTACAAAAAAGAAAAAAGTATCAATATGGTATCAGTATCAGCAGTATCAAGACATCCCTAACCATAATTAACATTAATATAGTCCAAAATTTAATTCCTTACAATAAATGAGATTAAACACTTGAACTAATTATTTTTAATTTAAATATTTGCTTAAATCACTCTGATATTTTAATTATTATTGATTATAAAGAAATGTTATCATTTGAATTATATTTATGCACATTATGTCTGTGGCTTGGCACAAAAAAAATGCCAATGTCAATATTTATCAAGTTGCACCTAAGTCAGCATTTTAAATATTGACATAGACATTAGCACAGCTCGTTTTGTTTCTTCCTATTTATATTATAACTTTGGCATACACACACATAAAAATGTTATAAAACTTTATAGATTTATATCACAACATAAGCAATAATACAAAAATTAAGAAATCTATAATTTTAACCCACATTGCCATTAGAAATTAAGATTTTAAATTATATTAATAAAATAAAAATTAGCATAATTTTCACATAGTTTACTACAACAAAACTCTTAATAAAATTTAAATATTGATAAATTCATATATTCTATATGTGCCTTATAAAATTCAATGTAAACATTTTCAAATATTAATAAAATTTATAAATTTTAATATTATGTAGATTAACAACTATTGTGATTCTTTATCTTATTTGTGCATTAGATAATACCATTGTTCTTAACCAAAAGCTTTGTTTTTCATATTTATTAGAAAGATAAAGTTTTTATGTATTATGATTTTAGCAATTTATCTTATATATTATTGTTTGTCATTATAGATGTTACTTAATAAACAAATCAATTTTCATGTCTTTCTATAAAATACAAAATATACAGAAATCAAATATTATTAATTTTATAATTGATAATTTAAATAAAGTAAAGCCTATTCTTGATTTTTGTAAGTTAGACAGCTATAATGTTCTAGAATGTAATTAATAACTATAAATAAATAACTGAAATCAATGAATTTTTAATTGTTCTTTGTATGTAAAAAAATTCATAGAATTCAAAAGATATATAAAATAATTATAAAGACTGATTTAATAATAAATATGCTTTGAAAAATCAGGCATTGATATGGTAAGAAAAGCTCATCATCTGATTCTTCAGTTCAGTTGGATATTTAGAATAAATTTTATTTGCTTCAGTTCTGTAAAGTAACATCAGAACTAGTTTCTAATAACAATATATTTTCCACCAATTTTAAATTATAATATTTAAAATTCTTCTCTGTCACTATCAATAACAGACATTTTTGAAGTGGTAATTTAATCTGTGGCAATAAAGTTTAGAATAAAAACAGTCTTTCAATTATTTCATTTATTTTAAATGGACATTATTAAGTAGAGAAACCTAATACTTACTAATGGAAGAATTGGAGGAGTGAGAGTTCGGTTACGAAGTCCTTCCCAATTAAAACCATCAAACCACCTATAAAATCATTACATGATTATTTCTTTTAATTATTTTTTTTCAATTTAATTTTTACAATGTTTATAATTATTTATATCTTACTTGTGTTTTTGAATATCTTTAATCCCTCCTTTCTGATATCCTAACCTCTCTGTAGGATTGTCACTAAAATTATAAATTTAAAGTTAATTTTGCCTTATTGTTTAAAATAATAATAAAAGTAATTCTGAAAAATCATTATGCTAACAGCATGAAAATATACCTGTATATAAATATAAAATATTCAATACAAAAATAATTTAACATTTAACAAATATATAATGCTTTAGTTATTTAGCAAATCAGATTTTCAGTAGCATACATTTTTGGCAGTCATTTTATATCTTTATTTTTATACCATTAAAATCATGAGTAATAATGTTAATAATTTCCAATGAAAAAGTTAAATAAAGTACAATTAGAAGTTTGCAGCATTGTTTTAACTGATATTTTTATGGAAACAATACATAATTACTTTCAAATTAATGACATTTTTACATCAATTTATCTGACAATTCAACTGTCTTTCATTTAAAATAAAAAAAATCATAACATGGCTAGTATAATCAATTAATATGTATTTGATCTAAGTATCTACTTGATCTAAGTATGTCAGAAACAAAGTTTTATGTTTGATAATAAATCATATTTTTAAATAGATGAAAAATGTGCTTACCGACACAGCTTTTTAATTAATGCAGCAGCATTTCTAGTAATGCAACGTGGAAAATCTACTGCATCAATGCCTTTAAGAATTACATTGTAAGTTCTCATTGGATCAGGACCCGTAAATGGTGGTCTATAATGAAATTTATATTGCTGCAATATAAAATTTGTTGATACATAAATTAAATATAATAAAAAATTTAAACACTTACGTTCCAGTCAATAGTTCAAACATAAGAACACCCAAAGACCAGTAATCAGCTGAAATGTCATGACCTCTGTTTAATATCACTTCTGGAGCTACATATTCTGGAGTACCACAAAACGTCCAAGTTTTATGACCATTATTTAATTTTTTGGCAAAACCAAAATCAACCTATGATTTCAAAAATTAAATAATATTGAATTATAAAATAATGTGCTAATAAACTATTAGAAGAAAATACTCTTAAATTTTATTCTGATATAATTAAAATTTATGATTTTAAATCCAAGCATATTGGAAATTAACCAGTTTTAATAATAATTTTCTTTCAGATAAATTGAATAATTTAATAAAATATCAATAAGTTTTAAATTGTTACATTTAGTCCATATTGAAATAGTGAGATAACTTAAGCAAACACTTTCTAAATACTCAAAACAATATTTATTATAGCACAAAAGTCAAAGAAATGCTATTACTTATATTTTAACTTAATAATTAAATCTGACTCTTTACACAAACATTTTTTTTTTATTGTTTCTGCCCTATGAATACTAAGAAGATCTTTACTTCTCAGGGCCATCATGAGTTTAGCCAAGTTCACAATAGGAGAATGGATGGTGAAAGATGGAGACCATCATATCTGAGGCAGACAACTCATGAAAAATTCCTGGGGTTCTTGCCTCCTTCCCAAATCCAGTTCCAGAGCAATAAGCTAATGTGTTAACTGCTTTGCCCATGCAGTCAGCACAATAACATTTTTATTCTAGTTCTTTATAATTGTTATTACAATACTATCTGAAGTTCAATATAATAGAGGCTGTATGTAAAAGTAGTAATCAAAAAATAAATTGATAAAACTCAGATATGTTTGCCAATTAATTTTGTTGAAATTTGTTATTAATAAAAATTGAACAAATTTCATATTATTATTTATGGATATTTGCAAATAAATAAAAAAATAGGATAAGGTTTAATGATTAAAATCAACATCGTATTTTTTCATTTATTTGATATAAATTTCATAGATCCTACATTTCTGTTTCTTTCTATTTAAAGGATTTTTCATTGATCTTTTTCTTATACAGCAACTGAACCCAAACTCGGCAGAAAAAATAATTCATCAATGAACACCTTTGGCTGCTGAGAAACATTTATTTAAATGTTTCTCAGCAGCCAAAGGTGTTCATTGATGAATTATTTTTTCTGCCGAGTTTGGGTTCAGTTGCTGTATAAGAAAAAGATCAATGAAAAATCCTTTAAATAGAAAGAAACAGAAATGTAGGATCTATGAAATTTATATCAAATAAATGAAAAAATACGATGTTGATTTTAATCATTAAACCTTATCCTATTTTTTTATTTATTTGCAAATATCCATAAATAATAATATGAAATTTGTTCAATTTTTATTAATAACAAATTTCAACAAAATTAATTGGCAAACATATCTGAGTTTTATCAATTTATTTTTTGATTACTACTTTTACATACAGCCTCTATTATATTGAACTTCAGATAGTATTGTAATAACAATTATAAAGAACTAGAATAAAAATGTTATTGTGCTGACTGCATGGGCAAAGCAGTTAACACATTAGCTTATTGCTCTGGAACTGGATTTGGGAAGGAGGCAAGAACCCCAGGAATTTTTCATGAGTTGTCTGCCTCAGATATGATGGTCTCCATCTTTCACCATCCATTCTCCTATTGTGAACTTGGCTAAACTCATGATGGCCCTGAGAAGTAAAGATCTTCTTAGTATTCATAGGGCAGAAACAATAAAAAAAAAATGTTTGTGTAAAGAGTCAGATTTAATTATTAAGTTAAAATATAAGTAATAGCATTTCTTTGACTTTTGTGCTATAATAAATATTGTTTTGAGTATTTAGAAAGTGTTTGCTTAAGTTATCTCACTATTTCAATATGGACTAAATGTAACAATTTAAAACTTATTGATATTTTATTAAATTATTCAATTTATCTGAAAGAAAATTATTATTAAAACTGGTTAATTTCCAATATGCTTGGATTTAAAATCATAAATTTTAATTATATCAGAATAAAATTTAAGAGTATTTTCTTCTAATAGTTTATTAGCACATTATTTTATAATTCAATATTATTTAATTTTTGAAATCATAGGTTGATTTTGGTTTTGCCAAAAAATTAAATAATGGTCATAAAACTTGGACGTTTTGTGGTACTCCAGAATATGTAGCTCCAGAAGTGATATTAAACAGAGGTCATGACATTTCAGCTGATTACTGGTCTTTGGGTGTTCTTATGTTTGAACTATTGACTGGAACGTAAGTGTTTAAATTTTTTATTATATTTAATTTATGTATCAACAAATTTTATATTGCAGCAATATAAATTTCATTATAGACCACCATTTACGGGTCCTGATCCAATGAGAACTTACAATGTAATTCTTAAAGGCATTGATGCAGTAGATTTTCCACGTTGCATTACTAGAAATGCTGCTGCATTAATTAAAAAGCTGTGTCGGTAAGCACATTTTTCATCTATTTAAAAATATGATTTATTATCAAACATAAAACTTTGTTTCTGACATACTTAGATCAAGTAGATACTTAGATCAAATACATATTAATTGATTATACTAGCCATGTTATGATTTTTTTTATTTTAAATGAAAGACAGTTGAATTGTCAGATAAATTGATGTAAAAATGTCATTAATTTGAAAGTAATTATGTATTGTTTCCATAAAAATATCAGTTAAAACAATGCTGCAAACTTCTAATTGTACTTTATTTAACTTTTTCATTGGAAATTATTAACATTATTACTCATGATTTTAATGGTATAAAAATAAAGATATAAAATGACTGCCAAAAATGTATGCTACTGAAAATCTGATTTGCTAAATAACTAAAGCATTATATATTTGTTAAATGTTAAATTATTTTTGTATTGAATATTTTATATTTATATACAGGTATATTTTCATGCTGTTAGCATAATGATTTTTCAGAATTACTTTTATTATTATTTTAAACAATAAGGCAAAATTAACTTTAAATTTATAATTTTAGTGACAATCCTACAGAGAGGTTAGGATATCAGAAAGGAGGGATTAAAGATATTCAAAAACACAAGTAAGATATAAATAATTATAAACATTGTAAAAATTAAATTGAAAAAAAATAATTAAAAGAAATAATCATGTAATGATTTTATAGGTGGTTTGATGGTTTTAATTGGGAAGGACTTCGTAACCGAACTCTCACTCCTCCAATTCTTCCATTAGTAAGTATTAGGTTTCTCTACTTAATAATGTCCATTTAAAATAAATGAAATAATTGAAAGACTGTTTTTATTCTAAACTTTATTGCCACAGATTAAATTACCACTTCAAAAATGTCTGTTATTGATAGTGACAGAGAAGAATTTTAAATATTATAATTTAAAATTGGTGGAAAATATATTGTTATTAGAAACTAGTTCTGATGTTACTTTACAGAACTGAAGCAAATAAAATTTATTCTAAATATCCAACTGAACTGAAGAATCAGATGATGAGCTTTTCTTACCATATCAATGCCTGATTTTTCAAAGCATATTTATTATTAAATCAGTCTTTATAATTATTTTATATATCTTTTGAATTCTATGAATTTTTTTACATACAAAGAACAATTAAAAATTCATTGATTTCAGTTATTTATTTATAGTTATTAATTACATTCTAGAACATTATAGCTGTCTAACTTACAAAAATCAAGAATAGGCTTTACTTTATTTAAATTATCAATTATAAAATTAATAATATTTGATTTCTGTATATTTTGTATTTTATAGAAAGACATGAAAATTGATTTGTTTATTAAGTAACATCTATAATGACAAACAATAATATATAAGATAAATTGCTAAAATCATAATACATAAAAACTTTATCTTTCTAATAAATATGAAAAACAAAGCTTTTGGTTAAGAACAATGGTATTATCTAATGCACAAATAAGATAAAGAATCACAATAGTTGTTAATCTACATAATATTAAAATTTATAAATTTTATTAATATTTGAAAATGTTTACATTGAATTTTATAAGGCACATATAGAATATATGAATTTATCAATATTTAAATTTTATTAAGAGTTTTGTTGTAGTAAACTATGTGAAAATTATGCTAATTTTTATTTTATTAATATAATTTAAAATCTTAATTTCTAATGGCAATGTGGGTTAAAATTATAGATTTCTTAATTTTTGTATTATTGCTTATGTTGTGATATAAATCTATAAAGTTTTATAACATTTTTATGTGTGTGTATGCCAAAGTTATAATATAAATAGGAAGAAACAAAACGAGCTGTGCTAATGTCTATGTCAATATTTAAAATGCTGACTTAGGTGCAACTTGATAAATATTGACATTGGCATTTTTTTTGTGCCAAGCCACAGACATAATGTGCATAAATATAATTCAAATGATAACATTTCTTTATAATCAATAATAATTAAAATATCAGAGTGATTTAAGCAAATATTTAAATTAAAAATAATTAGTTCAAGTGTTTAATCTCATTTATTGTAAGGAATTAAATTTTGGACTATATTAATGTTAATTATGGTTAGGGATGTCTTGATACTGCTGATACTGATACCATATTGATACTTTTTTCTTTTTTGTACTTGACAATTTGGTCAGATACCAATACTGGTATCAATGCTTTTCCTTCAATTTCAGATCTGGTATCATTATGTTCTTCACAGACAGGTAAGATCCAACTGAAATTAAATTTTGCAGCTGAATCCAAAACCAAAACCAGATTTGGGTTTTAATATAAGTTTCTGCTGAAACTGAAATAAAATTTTACACTATTTTTGGTTAAGTTAAACTTGTATAATAAATATTAATAACCAAAACTCAATAAATTTATTACATCAAATTTCATTTTCAGAAGCTATGTACAGTATAAAGCTAAGATTACTATTTATAAATAATTTGCCAATTATTTTGAAACACTTGAAAATATATTAAATTTCAAATCAAGTGATACAGTACTGATAACATTTAGTTTATATTAGAAATCAGTTTTAATAATTTATTAATAATAACTAACCAGAATAAAGCATGTTATTTATGTTAAAATTCAAAGTTTCAATTACAGAAAACATTTCTAAATCAAGCCACAGATTGAACAGTATCAGCCAGCAAGATTTCCAATTTCGATACCCAATGCAGATACTGACTGGTATTGATAGTTTAAGATCGATACTGACACTGGTATCAATATTTTGTGGTATCAGAACATCTCTAATATTATGGTATATATATATGTATATATATATGCAGCACATTAATATGTGAATATTGTTATGAAACTTTATGGGCTATTTTTGTCAGAAAATTAGCAGTAATACATAAGAAAAAATATTGTATATTATGTCCAATTTGTCATTTAATGTTATCAAGATTATATTACGAAATTAAAAATTAGAATAGTTTCTATGTAGTTACTTTTATTGTTTTACTATATTAATTAAATCTGATTACAGAATACAATATGCAGTTGTATGGCATAACTATTGTATTCTGTAATTGAGTTTAACTCATATCTGATTAAGTTTCCAGTATAGAAGATGAAATTACATATAAAAAAATAAAGTATTTTTATATAAATACTTTACAGGTACTTGTAAAGATATGTTAGCTTTACATTTACTTTCAATGTTAACTTTCTTTTACTGAAATGTCAAACCATTTATGATATACAGTATATTAATTTACTTTTCTCAAAATAAATTGTATAATGTTAAGAATTCTATCCATTAAGAGAAGATTTGGATATTGTCTGAATACTAATTTGTGTGTTTAGTATTTCAACAGTATTCTATTCTTATCTTATTTTTAATAGAAAAAATAATATAAAGAGCATAAATTGTATTGTTTTGTTATAAAAAATTAGAGCTTTACAAGGAAAATAGTTATGAAGCTATGAAATGTTTCTAATTTTGAATCTTTGTAATGCCATTTTCCTGTTGTCAAGATTGTGATTTTTTCTGAGTAATTTGTCAATCTTCAGCATATTGAGCTGATATATCTTTTAAGATAGATCCGATGATATTCAATAAAACTGAGATTACTGGGCACTGTTCAAAACATAAACCTGCCAAACCAGTAAAAATATTTGATACTGTGTGATTCCAGTGTACACAGGTTTTACCACAGTTACATACAATTTTATTCAGATTTCAGTGATGTTACTATTGTAATTGAAATCCTTATCAAAATATTTGTAATTTGATCATACAAAATAAAAGTTCAGTTCTAATCACAGTTGATTGAAAATCAATAATGATTTACTTTTTAAAATAATGTTTAATATACTTACATTATTAAATTTAATGATAATATTACCAAATTAAAAAATTTGACTTTATTTACAGTATTGTTTCATATATTTTACAGGTTCAAAATGTGCTAGATACCAGCAACTTCGATCCATATCCACCAGAGACAGAAGGACCTCCACGAGATGATGATACTGGATGGGATGTTGAATTCTGATATTTAAATACATTCTAAATAAAATATTTACATATTCCAAGTTAAGAAATNTATTTACATAATTTTAAAAAATATACTTACTTCCCCTTTACTGATAATGAAAAATGTATCTCCTCTTGCACCTTGTCTAATTATATAATCACCTTGATTGTATGTAGTCTAGAGAAAAACAATCATTTAATAACAAAATTATCAAATATATGCAACTATAACAAGTGCATAACTAAAATCTACAGTGAGTCACAACTTTATCATACTTTATGTACTTTGAATATTTAAAAATATTCTATGACATTATAACCTCATAAAATAAAAATCAAACCAATCAACTTATAAGTGAGGAATAAATAACAAATAGGGATTGCATTACCAGTAAATGATTTACCAATTTACTGGTAATCAGATAAAAATGCATTGCTAAATATACTGGTAATTTGATATTTTTAACAAATAGTACCTCTTGTGTGTCTAACCCTATATTATTATCTTTATAAAATGCTCATTTTCAGATAACCAACTTTTTAAGTTTTTCACAAAGAAACATTTTCATCTTGTTTTAGGATAGCTTCAGTTTCTTAATATACACCATTTACTGTTCAAATTCAGTTAGGACAATGACTGGTGTATATTAAAAAGATGAAGCTGTCCTAAAACAGGACAAAAACATTCTTTTGTGAAAAAGTTAACAAGCTGGCTACCTGAAAGTAAGCATTTTATAAAGATAATGATATATTTTTACCAGTAAATTTGATTTAAAAAAATACTTAGACATGTAATAATTTTTGAACCCAAATATTTATTTATATGCACTTTCATATATTAAAGATAGAAGCAATGAATGTTTATATTTAAACTATAAAAGACGTTTATGTCATTTGTCTTTTAAATTATTACTTTAATTTTTAAAGTATTGTATTACAGCATTATACTGGACAGTTTGACAATTTATTTAATCCATAGCATCTAGAGTGCAACTATGATTTTAGTTGAGTAGCATTCTAGTTGATGAAATAGAATACATTTATTTGAATGTTAATTCTTTCACTGGCCATGTATTAATTCATGGCAACTGAAAATATTATAACAGAATCTATTGTTCAATAATTGTGCAAAAATTAACTTTAAATTTTTAGAATATATTTTATGTAGTTATGTGCTGGATCGTTAAGAATGTATATCCACGGATACACATACAGATATGGATCATTAGTGTCTAGATCCGCAGATATGGATACGAATACGAATCTCAACTTTCGTACTCGGTCAGCGCCGGTGTGTATGACCTTGGACCAATAGTTGATGCTTTGCATTAGTAATGCGACGTGTTTTGACTTGCACTGCGCGTGTTTTTGTCTATAGTTTAGTGCAGTGTTTCTCAATGGGGGCGATATCGCCCCCATGTGGGCGTTTTTCCATGTTGAGGGGGGCGATTAATAACAATTTATATTTTGGGGGCGATATAGTAAAACATTATATTAAGAATAATTAGATATTTTATTCATTATATCATACAATAATTAAACAAATAACATTATCTTAGTCACTAGTCTATTCAATGCAGTATGAATTTGGTGTTAGCTTGGCCCTCGCCATCGGAATTTATAGTAAAGGGGGCAATATCACATTGAAGGAGGCGACGATTCGTTAGAAGTTAAGAAACACTGGTTTAGTGTGACACGGGATAGTGTAGATTAAGTTTGTATTTTTTTAGTGTGTTGAGTTAAATTAAAATAAAAACAATGTCAACAAAAAAGTTTAGTAGTATAATATGGAAATATTTTACGATAGTAAATGAATTTTGCAGGATAAAATTTTTGCAATATGAACATGCCAAATATGTGATTTTAAGAAATAAAAAGTGATTTGAATTGAAGTTGTTAGTATTTTATTGCTACCTATCTTTAAAATTTCTATAAGTAATGAAATTCATTAAGATAAAAGATCAGTTAAAGATCCACTAAAAAGTAACAGATACGGATACAAATACGGATCTTTTTTTTCCCTCGGATATCCGTGGATACAGATACGGATACGGATATTCAGCACATCACTAATTTTATGCATAATTTGTGCCAGTGATTTTTATAACAATTAACATTTGATATAAATCAGTAAATTATTTTTACATTATGGCTGTTACTGGATTGTGTGGAAGAAATTAACTGGGATCTGAAAAGCCAATTGTGCAAGGAGTCAATCAGAAACTGAGGTGTGAACTGACCTAACCAATACCTCATCCACCTGTAGATCCACAGGAGCAGTCATAATCTCTTTAATGGATCCAGCAATGCCACCCAACACAAAATCCCAAGTTGGCAACTATCTCATCCTCACATGAAGTTCCATAGAACACCTAGCATTCATGAAAAATCCATGCAGTCTTAGCATGGACTTGATCCTGAGCCCTCAGAACATTAATGTCACNCTGAAAAGCCAATTGTGCAAGGAGTCAATCAGAAACTGATGTGTGAACTGACCTAACCAATACCTCATCCACCTGTAGATCCACAGGAGCAGTCATATCTCTTTAATGGATCCAGCAATGCCACCCAACACAAAATCCCAAGTTGGCAACTATCTCATCCTCACATGAAGTTCCATAGAACACCTAGCATTCATGAAAAATCCATGCAGTCTTAGCATGGACTTGATCCTGAGCCCTCAGAACATTAATGTCACCACAATTACAAAGCTAAGCCATCACAACCATCCAGCCAACATATGGTTTTTATAAATTATATATTGAAATTTAACAGAATATTATTGGAACAAGTGCTTCAATAAATTCTTAATGATTTATTTTTGTTTTGAAATAATATTAAATTCAGAAATATATATAAATATAAACTTGCCTCTTCTAGTACATCAGCTATTTTTATTAGAGTTTCTTCATTTAATTTTCTGAATGTTGGAACACTATAATGATAAAATTTGATATTTAATAGTTACTCAGTAATATAAATTTTTATACTATTCATAAATATAAAAATTTTCAGCAAAATAACAACAATAAATTATATTTTAAAACAGTTAAGAATTACCCTTTGAAAATAATTTATAAACTTTTATTATTTATTGTTATTTATTATTTGTAAACTTCATAAATAAAAATATTTTTACTCTAATTCTATAATAATTCTGTTTGTTACAGTCAACAAGTTATTATCAAACTGATTAACTAATCAAAACAATAATTTATCTCTTTTTAATAAAAGAAAATGTTACATTTTTTTCTCAAAAAAAAAATGTATTTTTTTATGTAATGAAGATTACAAAAAATAAAACTAACAAATAAGTTTGTTATAGCATTTTATCAGTGCAGAAATAATCGAGTAATTTAAAAATATATAGTATTAATATCTCTCATCATGAAAAACATAAAAATTATAAAATAAAATAAATAGAAATATATGTTTTAAAAAAATGCGTGTCCAAGGAAAAAAAAAATAGTTCTACAGATGAAAAGATAGTTCATATAAGCAGCAGTTTATAAAATTCTGTAGAAAATCAGATCATCATCATATAGCAAAAATAAATAAAAATGCTTAAAGATTTTGTTGTAGAATTACCACATTTGCAATGAAATATCTTTAACAAATAGAATTTTATAAAAGTAATCACTAAATCATTGCTAAAACAGATGCTAAAACAGAAACAATAACTCTACCTTATCAAATATACAATAATGTATTACAGTAATGTAATATTAACTTATTTTCAAGTTATTAGATACTGTATGTAACTTAATAAAATCTTTATTTGGAATATACTACTCATTTTTTATAACTATCAAGCAGAATTTTATTTATTCAAATAACTTTTATAAATACATCATAAGATGAAATATTATGTATTTTATAAAGTTATTATTTTATTCTTCTATAAATTATATTCCATAATAATATATTTAAAGCATTATAATATTTTTATCAGTGATCATGGCTACATCTAGTTAATTATAGTATTTTATCCAGTCATTTATTAATATTTGATTTGCACAAATGAAATATTTTCCTAAGTTATCTAAACTAGGTCCTATATATATAGTTATACTTTAAATATAAATATTTAAAATATATAATTCTTTTCAAGAATCTATTTGTTATTACATGATAAAATTAGTGATCAGTTTCAAAACTAATCCAAAATAGAAACAGTAGTTGCGATTACAAGGATGTTGTTGCTCAATAAACAAACCTGTCAAAACTTTATCATATCTTCAATGCTAAAAAGAGGATGTTCTTGCTCAATATAATGTGATAAGTAAGTTTTTGTAATAATGACAATATAATAAATACAAAACCTTCAAAAAAAAATTATATTGACTAATTTTCAAATTTTTAAACCAATGATTTTTTAGCTTTAATATCATTTACAAAAATGAATTATAAGATATAATTTGACCTAATGTTTGTTGATAACATTTGAAACTCGTATAGTTTTATGTAATAAGTCTAAGTCATAAACATAACTATAGAATTTTCTTGATTACTATTATTGTCATCATCATTGTAGTTAATATGATCATTGTTTTAAAAATATAAAGGCATTCAGCAATGTTTACTCTTACTTGACATATTAAATAAATTTGTAATAAACTCTCTATTTTCATAACCATCCATAAATTATTTCAACTGTTTTTAAGTAGCACATCAGATAATTTATTATAATTTTAATGGATCTTCATCCACTTAAAGTTTAGCCTTTATGTGCAGATATTGAACAGAACTGTTTTCATTTATTAAAAATATTAATTTCATTTTTATTAGACACAGCATTTTATTAAAGCTGAGAATACTGTTGATCAATTCAACTGCTTTATGAATGAGCTTAATGGATCTACTGTCTCCAATAAAGACAGATTATTGTATATTATAAATAACTCTTTATTTTAAAATATTTTAATACTGTATTTTTAATTTATTATTTTCTGATTTATTTTCAAACATTAATCTTCACACACACACTACTTTCTAAAAGTTTGTTATTTCTTCTTGAAAATTGTTTTAAGTTTCTACCTCATTTTCAGTTATTAATTCATACTGTAAAAGTTAAGAATCAAAAAAAAAAAGCTTATATTCAAATATTTTAAATTTAAAAAAAAATGAATATTAAAGACAAAAATAAAATATTAAATTAAAAACTTTTAATTATATCAGACACTTTGCACCTATTGCTTCATGGTATCTAGCATCCCTTTCAATACTTTTTTGATATATTATTTACATAACAAATCTTGCAATTTTTCTTCCTTCCTGTTAATTGCCTTTTCTTTACTTAAACTCTTAATACTTTGAAGTGTTTTCTAAGAATCCAATGTGTACTTCCCATTTATAATTAAACAGGAAATGAATACTAAGTTCTTGGAAAAAGTTGAAATTATTAAAAAGTTTAGGTAATGAAAGAGCAGTCAACAGGAAGGAAGAAAGATTGCAAAATTTTGCATGGTAACAGTGTCTGAGAAAAACAGAAGCATGAAAAAAAAAACTGGTAAACACTATAAATGCAACAGGTGCAAGATATGTTTGATAAGAATAAAAAATTTAAGTAAAAAAAATTTGATTCTACAAAAAAAATAAAATAATACATCATTATATCAAAATTTAATTTGTAAAAATGTTCAATTTTTCTATTGCATTATCATATTCATTATAAAAAATAAAATATAAAACTTATAATATTTACATAATTTTAAAATGACTGTAATATTAAATTTGTCTTATTACCTTTTAAGAAAATCTGTATACTCAGCTTGCCTCATTAAAGCTGTCCTCATCATAATTGTTTGAAAACATTGCCTCTCTATTGCCCATAATGTGCAATCAGTCAGAGCTTAAAAAAAATATATATAATATGTTTTCATTCTTTTTTTAACAAAGAAAGAATTGAAAAAAAAATTATTAATTCAAAAACATGTTACAGATAATGTAATTAAACAAAATGATTGTTTAATGTTATTTAATGATTTAAAAATGTTCCTAAGTTATGTTTCAAGAATATATAAATAAATAATGCATAACTTATTAAAATCCATTCAAAATGAGTTTAGTATATCAGTTTATTAGTGTAATAACAAGGATTTTCAATAAGCAACTGCTTGATTCATTATCATATTTATAATATTCATAAATTAAAACAATTATCAATGTCCTTTTACTTTCATTAGCTAAATTAAAATTTATTTAAAAAAATAGTTATTTACTCTAAATGCAATAATATACAAATTATCAAATATCACAACAGTTTGCAAAAATCATTTTGGTGTATATCAGAATTATCAAGAATTACTTAATACAAACATAGCATTGAACAAGAATTTCTCTCTAGAAGATTATAATGCATCTTTTTTTACAGATTTTAAAAAAAATTAATTTTATAAAAGATCTCAGCTAACAAATATTATGATTTTAATTTTATAATTTTAAAAAACACTCTTGACTAAATCATAATACTGTATATTAATATAAATAATGCAATTTGAATAGAAGAATTACAGCAACATCAATTTAAAAATGGTAAAAAATAATCAAATTACCAGTGATATTGAAAGATAACTCAATGTAAAGATTGACATATATTTATGCAATTAAATTTTTAAAGAATTTCTTTATAAAAAAAAAAACAGCTTACTTATTTAGAAAAGCTATAATAATATATCTGTGATAACTTCATTTTAATAGATTATATTGTGTTTTCCATCTATTATATATTTTTTGATAATCAGATACGGCAGTAGGTTTCATTCATTATGCAGGAATTTGTGTTTAAGTTTGTCAGTTTTCCACAGTAATTTTTGCTAACATAATAAGCATAGTTTACATTTCATAAGCTTCATATCATGTCTACACTTTGAACTAAATTAAATTATAATCCAAAATAAATCAGTATATTAATAATAAAAATGATTAAAATTTAATTTATTAATTTATAGTTTTTAAAAACAATTCCATTAGCGACCATATTTTTCAATAATCAATCATGTTTGCATAAAATATGAGATCTGGTATTTTCATTATAATTATAATAAAAACAAAAAATTTAATATTTACAATGAAACATCATATTTTTCTAAATTGAATTGTAATTAAAATAATTATAATCTTTAAAGATTCTAAATAGTCTTCTATCCTTTAACAATTGACTGAAAAAAAGGAGCTAATGAGCTAAAATAAAATTAATGAATAATTCTTAATTTCTATTTTGGCAATTAACATTTTTGAACTACATTTCATAACTGAGGAAATAATAATAATAATTATTATTATTATTTGTATTTTGTCCATTTATTTTAATACCTATAATATACATAAATTTAATAATTTCAACCAATTTCAATACAATATAAATAAAAATAATATGAAGATTCCTCTGCTTTCTTATATTTTTTAACATAAGCATGTGTTTGTTTCTCATAACTGTCTGCTGACTAAAAATAGAGCATCTTTTATCTTCTCTTTATAACTAGTTCAAGAAGAATTGCAAAATATATTCACATTTGAACTTTTCAACCTACATTTCTCCATTTAATTACCTTTTTATCAGTTGCATGTAACTTTATATTTAGAATTATTCATATACAGTATCTAATTTTTAAAGCTGATATTATATTTTATAAAAAATTTATAATCCATTCTTTTTAATTAAAGAAGAAAACTAAAAGGAAAACGAAACATGTATTTGAACAGAACACAATATTTTATTTTTTTATATTAAACAGAAAATTTAAAGAAATAAACAGTTAGAAAAATTAATTTTGATTATCAAAATAAATTTGTTAATAGTAACAAATGTAAAAACACATAAAGATTATCTAAAATTAAGTTACAATCTTTCTATTTTTAAAACCATGTGGAAAGGAATAAAATATTGAGTATAACCATGAAATTGACAAAGAAAAATTAAAAGTGAGAATTAATATATATTAAAGTTAACTTTATTTCAAGTTGATTTTAGAACAGATTCATATTCTGAGGCTATACATATACATTTAGATGATTTATTCTCTTGTTTTTAGTAACAGCAACACAGATTCCCATTATTTAATAAAAGCAACTTTGCTGCTAAATTCAGCACTTTATTCATAAATAAATCATGAGAATAAGGTAAGTATCATTCAGTAAACAAATTCTCATATTTGCAGTAACAGATAAACATCAAATCAATTTAGGCAAAAGATCAATAAATAATGGGATCTACATAATCCAATTTGATCTAAAGCAATTTTGACTTGAAAGGGTATATAACATCTTAAAACAAAAATAAAGTATATCAAGTACATTATATTTTAGAAGTATCTTAATAATACTAATGTAGTCAGCAATTTTTTGTATGGATGGGTGCCAAAATGTCTACTGAAATTAGTAACATCAATATTTTCTAAATCAACAGTGCAAATAGAGTACACTAATAAATAAACATAAAACCATACCTTTAACTGTTGCAGTTCTTGTACAATTATACAGTATTGCTAACTCTCCAAAAACTTTACCAATACCTAAATGGCATAATAGTCTTCCTCCTTTCGTTACTTCTACTTTCCCTTCTATAAGAAACATTATAAAATTCTTAAAATTATTATAATTATATTAATAATATGAATATCTATTTAAAGTTTTAATAAATGAATATAGCATACAGAAAGCCATTTCAAATAAAAAATGTATTATAGTCATATAAATTTATTAAAACTGAAAAAATTATATTACTGTATATTAGATGATGCAAGTAGAATCTTCAGGTTAATAATCTTTAATCATATAAAAAAAAATCAATTCCCAAAAACTAATTTATTGTTGGAAATTATATATTATATGTCAACAGAATGTAGAAAAAGCCTTACTGAAGTTTTATTTCTTCAATAAATGTAAAACTAGAGTCATTATTAATGTAAGACTTACGCAAATTGATCAAAATCTTGTATAGAATGTATAAAACATCCTCTATCCAAACCAACCAAATTTTAATTTCCATTATTTTTAAAGACAAAAGAAAGCGCATGTTGATTCAGCTGTTCTACATAAATTAAACTGAATTCTGTTTCTTATCTGTCATGCAATCAATTTGAACTGGACAGAACAGTTATCACAATGTGTTGTGTATCTGACATATCGTTATAAAATAACTTATCGTAGCTTATGTGATTTACATTAAATAGAAATATAAATAATTTTCAAATCTTATTAGCTTGTCAAAAAATTGTAATAACCAATCATCAACTTTTTTCTGAATAGTATAATAATAAATTTACATACTTCTTAATGAAATGATTTAAAAAGTTTTTCTTGATAAATTTTACTTAAAAATAAGATACTGGTAGAATATTAATTATTATAACAGATAATAATTTTAATTTTGAACTTTAATCTGTTCTGAAATACAGATCTAATTTTGTTCCATAAAATCTATGATAATTATTTTTAAAATCATAGATAAAAAATTTATCAATACATAAAATAGTTTAAAGGACATTATTTTTGACATATTAAATCATAATATCAATAAAATGAGTTCTTCTGGTAACTTATGCATTGATAAAAGTAGCGATAAACTTGATATGAATCTATTCATCAATTCTGAGTACAAAATTCATGTTTATTTTTGAATCCTGTAAATTTTCTATATATATATATAATGAAATATAAATTACCCAATTTAATAAACATGTATAATAATGATAAATAACTAATCTAACATTAATAAGTTCTTTGAGTTTATAACATGAATTTTCCATTNAAAACACAAACGGCGCCAGAGAAAGGAATGCTTTTTTATTTTAATTATATTTGTTATATGCATTTCAATTAAAACGTAATCATGACAATGATGTTATTTAAAATTTATGAAAAAATAACAGTAAAAGAAACAAAAATTCCATGTGAAATTAACAATAATTCTATGCTTATATTACAATTTTTGTAAAAAATCATGACATGGTTTAGAGAAATAGCAAAAAATTTCAAACAATGTAAACTTTGCCTTCCTCTGCAGTTTCCAATTTATAGAAGAGTAGACTATAGATAAATTGTAATTTTTGAGTTTAAAGATTATTAAATATGCTCTGCAAATGCATTAAAAAAAACTGATAAGTTTAAAAACTACCAAAGTCAAAGATAAGTGACTTTGAAACTGACACATATATATTTTATGTTTACTAAAAAAAGCAGAGAAAGAATATGATTTATAAACAATCCAACAGCTATCTCTGATATTCATTTCAAAAATTATATACACTAAACCATGACTATAGAAACTAATAAGAAAGATAATGTTTATTAAAGCCAAGTGTCTGTTATTAGTAAATGTTTAATATTTTATGACTTATAAAACAAAGAACTTATTTTGTAATAAAATATCAAAATGTAATATTAATTTAAAATGTTATACAGTAACTAATAAAAGTAATATATAAACTAATTTCACATTGTTTAATCATCTGTTAGGAAGGATATGGATATAAAATATACATTTAATTATATACAAGTATATTAAATAATCTACGTAAAATACTTTTTATATATTATCAATTCATCTTTCTAAATTATTGTATGAACTTTATGAATATAAATAAACAAAAGTTTACACAATTTAATGAGTACCATGAATTTACCAGATCTATTAGATGCTGTGAAATTAGTCTAAACAATGTGATCTAGAAAAGAGACTACATGTTTAGATTATATCTTTTCTATTCTAGAAATTTAATCCATTAAATCTAAAATTCATTTAATGAAACTTATTAAAAGATACTCTACATTATTTGCTTTTACACAAAATATTATGATTTTTTATATTAAAATCAAATAATAAAAATTATTATATATATTTTATATTAAACTTTACAATGAGGTTGTCCAAACTTCAGAAACTTTATTTCAGTACATGTTTGTTTGGCTAAATGCCACGAGACTTTTGTTATATTAATATACTTTCTTCTACTTAACCCTTTTCTGAATTTCCCTTTTTATAATTAGTTATGTAAATAATTTCTAATTTTATATTTGATATAAATATCTGAGTTTTCTGCATTTTTGCAAAATTAAATAAGTCCATGGAAATTACATTATAATCATTCTAATTTTAGACAACAGTTATCAAATAAAATGCTTGTTTGCTAAAAAATTGATTGTATAACATTTCATTATTGAATTAAAAACTGTTAAATATAATATATTAAATTTTACATCTGAGATTTATACAAATTTTTTTATTAATAGGCAATACCTTTTAATATTAAACAGATATGGATATCATTTAAATAAATAATACTTGAGGTAAAACCTTATTATAAAAACATGCTTTGTATTAAATTTCTTGCTGCTGCAAATTATAGTAAAGCAAAGTTGTAATTGTCTGAGTGAATGAAAACAAAGTGGGACAGATCACCAAAAATTACATTTTGCATCAAGTAATAAAAAATCAAATATTATATGATCTGCATTTGAAAACAGATTATCAAATAAGATCATTAATAAAATAAAAAATACCTATACAAGCTTTCATGCATTAATTTTCAACACTAAACATGGCATGTACTATATAATAATAATCATGATTTCATAAAATGAAATCTATATTAAATAAATGTTTAGAGAGAATCAATCATGCTTGTATACAGTTCTAAAGGAACAGGTTTTGATCAAAATCATTTTTTACAATGATTATCACTTAAAAACCAAAAAAAAAATACTTGTGTTCAGATGTATATTATCTAGCTAACTAGTAAAAACACTACATCGCATCAAGATATATAGTTAACAATGTAAACAGAACTGATAACCGATGTGCACAGAAGCAAAAAACTAATGCAAATAATTATAATGCTTGAAGAAATCTGATGTAGTTTGAAAACATTTGCTTCTGTGCACATAAGTTATTCGTTCTGGGTACATTATCTAGCTAACTAATCAGACTGAACTGCAATTTGACAGAGACAAAGATATTAATAAAAATTAATAAGTTTGTATATCATTATTGCTCTCTATGTCAATCATTCTATACTGGTAAATATAAAATATTTCAAATATTGACAATTACAATATTTAACTTACCTTCTAGAACAAAAACAATGCTACCAACATCTCCTTCTTTGATAATGAGACTGTCTTTTGGATAAATTACTGGATACATACAATCTGTGATTTCTCTTATCTGTACAATTTCTAAATTTTTCATAAAATCATTTTCTAAAATTGCCTTTTTAATTAATTCTTTAGATCTGTTAAATAAAACAGAAAACTTTCAATATATTATTATATATTTATTCAATATGAATAATAAATAAGTTTTACTGAATTAACAATATTAATTAATATAAATGCTATACTAGTTAACATTGTTACCATCAAAATATTCAATTATAGATATTTTATAAATGTGATGAAATATTAATTGATGCATCTTTAAAAGTTTTAATTAATTCAGTATTTCTGATTATGCATCATAATATTAGATTATTTATTATCAGAAGTAAAATAATGATCTTTTTTATAACAAAGTAATGATCTGTTATGAAACATGAGAAATTATTTGATTTTATCTGTTGCTATGAAGAATATGTAAATTTCACATCACATAAAGACATAAATCTGTATTCTCCAAACCTGGGATTCACAGGAGCCTGGACATTATCCCACAATTTGTATTTTTACACTATTATAATATAAAATGCTTAACAATAATTATTCTTTATTTTGTAAAAAAGTAATATATCCATAAAAAAACTGAAAATAAATTTTAGAATAATTTATTCACTTGGAACCCATGTAAATTTTTTTCTCTGGGTCTGGCAACTACTCTCAATGCCCCTACAGATGTAATTCTATTAAAAAATATGAATTTTTAATGTACTTGTATATATTCGTTGAAGACAAAGAAAAATAGTAAATAGATCATTATTATACGACTGTTCATAAATTGTTGTTACTGTAATATACTGTATATCTGATCTTGTTTCAAAGTAATCTAAAATTAACTGTTCCCTTTTAACTGAACTCCAGACAAATGTCCCAAACATCTATGAATAATAATGTGATTACAGTAATGTTTTATGTTATCTAATCTTAATAAAACAGTCATCTACGAACAAATTAAATGATCATCAGCTAATTAATCATTAATTTTTTCATGATGAAATTTAATTCCCCTTACTTTTCGGTTTAACTCATAAACATAAAAACAACTGGTATTCATTTATTTTTAGCTACTATTTAAATATAATAATAATTTCAGTTTGGCTTAACTAATATTACTTTTCAATTTCATTCTTTTATTAATTTTATTAATATTTTTATCGTATAATACAGATGTAATAATAATACAATATTTTTTAAAATTAAAATATAAGGGCTGGATATATAATAGGCCGGATGGCCAAGGCAGTTAGTCCATAACAATCTTCCAAACCATAGAATTATTGTTGCAGCTATAAATAATTTATTTTTTCTTTATTTCTTCCCACACAAAGAAATTTAGATCCTACTTCTGAACACAATCCTAGTTATTGCCACAATTCCAAGACTTTCCAGTCCAAACCCAGATTTATGACAACCCTAATTAGATATCAATAGGCTATGATATGTTTATATATGAACTGGTGTTTCCATATAAAAACCACTTGAAAATAAAACTGGATCTCACCAACAAGAATATTCAATAAATATACATAAAACTAATTCTAAATTAGCCAATAGATTTGTTAGTAAGATTTTCAATCATAATAGTTAGAAATTAAATCATTAAATATTTTATCAGAATTTGCTTGCTTAATTAATGTATCTTAAGATCTTTTGTAATCTTCCACTAATGAACTAATTATAAAATATGACATTCTATTGTAAACTTCTCATTAGGCCAACCAGTAAATGAGTGGATAAAAATCACTAACAAGTAATGGATGGTTGGGGTTTTGTATCCAACCAATGAGCTGGCCATCTTCCAGGTTTTCCTCACTTGTCTAACATTTAGATAGTAACCGGTTCCTTTAAAAATCCTTTGGAGGCACTATCCCCTGGCAGATTGCCCATATGCTGCATTTTTTATCCCATCCACTTTTCATGTAATTTTGTTTTGTTTTTGCCTTTTTAATAGAAACAATTTTATTTCATATAGTTATATACAGAATTTCAATCATACATACATTTATATTACTTTTTTTCTTATGGTAAATATATTATTATTGTTAAACAAATAAAAAGTTGCATTTATTGGTTTTTCTATTTCATGTAAAACCTTTAAAATGTGATGTGTTATTGGCAGTTTTTTCTCTTTTCTTTCTGATATAAAATACAACAAAATATTGTGTTAATACTTGAAATATTTTCTTCTGGCTAATATTAGAAAGCCATTATACCACTAATCCAAAATGAGCATTACAAATATGGAAAAAAATACTTCAATTGAAAATTAATACATCATCATCACATATATTTTTCAAAAAAAACCTGTTACCAGTATGGTATTATTTTGAATAAATATTAAATAGATGAATTTTACAAATGTAACACTACTAAAAGATTTCACTCAGAGTTTTCATAATCTGAGGAGGGCCTACAGTCAAAATGTATAATGAAATAAGAGCAAAAAACCATGAAAATTCTACTGTAATTGAAAATCTTTTGGCAGTGATACACTTCTATAGAACACAAATGTCTTCTAACTGTAACACTTCTATAGTCTAATCATTTATTTGAGTTTCTTTAAAATATTACCATACAATTTAACATATCCTCTAGTAAACACAGTTTGTTTTCCATCATTATAAAGAAGCTCCAAATTTTAATACAATTTTAAAGATTTATTTTTCCTATACAAACTTTGCTTTTACATTAGGTATTCTAAAACTTAGCCATAGTTTAATACAGTTTGTGTGATATGTGAAAAATTATATTTCTTCAAAATAAATGGTACTTTATATAGAAAATTTTATCCTATTTACAAAAAGGATAATAATGGAAAAATAATACCATTAGATAATAGTTACATTTCATTCTATAAATTAAATTGCAAATTATTTATTTATAAATTAAATTGCAAATTAAGAAACTTAAACTTTTTCAAAACTCAAACTCACTGGAGTTTTTCTTATTCTATCATTTAAATTGCAGGAATATAATTTCCATTACTGTTTGTTTAATGTAACATACACTTTAAAATTATAGTATAATCTGTAAAAATAGGGAGCACATCTAAATTAATGTCAAACAATACAATTGTTTCAAAATTAATCATTAATAGAAACTTTAACTGAATAATAGAATGATTTACTTCATTGGCATATCATAATACACTCTTTCATAGTACATTTTAACATGTAATTATTATACAAATCAAAACAATACACAATACAACTAATGTTTTCATTACACTCGCACAGAAATAGATCTATGCCACATAATGGATTTGCAAGATTTGAAAACATTAAATATTGTAAACTATATTTAAATGCTATTAAATTATAAAAGTAGATAAATCTAATGATTAAGTAGGAACATTAGCAACCATTATTTTAATTATAAATTAGAATAAGTTCAAAGACCAGAAACATTCAATAAATTTCTTAATCTGACTCATGCCATTATTGTTTACACCATATTTTGCAATTAAATTCTTACAAGTTAGTATATCTACTTTATTAGGTAACAAAACATAACACAAAAAGTTAAATCTTTGACAGGACAATAACAATTCATTCAACAGAAGTAAACCATATACAGTATTTTGATTGGATGTCACATGTGACTCATGAATATCCAATGAGTAAAGGTATGATAAAGAAAACCTATTTCAATGTTGTTTATGATGAAAAGTCTTAATAATCTTGGTTAATAAAGGATTTATTAATGAATTACAACGTCTTATCTCCCTGATATAGTATTATATAATTATCTAATTAAAAGAGTTAATTGGAATCTAATCACATGACCTTTTAAATAGAAACTATATCAAGATGTTTACATGCTTATAAATAAGTTATTATTTATTTTTAATGTTAAATATTAGAAACAGAAAATTATCTTCAAAATTTGGAAAAGTTTAAAATTTGTTATGTATAAGGTTCTAGAATCTAAACTCTGAATTCTAGAGCATCTATCTTCAGTGAAAAACATGATTATAATCTCTTTAAGTTTTCCTTTAATCTGTAAAAATAAATCCCTTTAATTTCGATAAAAATTAGAAACATTTTTGGATTAGAAATGTCTGGAATGATTTTATATCTACATTAAAATTCCTGCCGAAAACTTTGACCTAATCGAGAATCCTACGAATTTGTATTAAAACCCATTGAATTATCTGAAATAAATTAATTAAAATATTAAATATTTATGTGCTGCAATATTTTAGATAAAATAAGATATCTTTGCCGAATTTATGGGCAAAATTATCTTCTCTTGTATCTAAAATTAATATAATTAAGCTGGTGTTTGAAAACACATAGCTATTCGTAATTAAAATATATTAATGATACAATTGTAAGCATAAAATATTTGTGTTTATTCGGGCTTTTGTAAATGTTTGTTTTTTATTTTTATATTTTTAAACTGTAAGTAATGCGGAAACAATCCGCCCCGAGAAGACTCGTTTCAAGAATATCGGCCTTAGTTGTATCGTTTTGAATATGAATAAAAGAGTATTTTCTGTATGTGATATACTTTTTTTTTAGTCGGAGTAATACTCTTGTCGCTAATAACGCGACATTAATGTATTTTTAATTTTGTACACGAAGTGCGCAAAAAAATTTCACATGTTTTATAGTTCGCCGCGAAACAAAAAAGTTTGACACGATCCAATTTGTTTGTGAAATTAGTGTTTTTCCCCCCAGTGAGAAGTGTTGTTATAATGATAAAATAATAGCTTTTGCATAAATTATATTTGCTTGAAGCCCTACTGCAAATTATTATTCAAAACAAAATTTAAAATGATTAATGAAAGCTGCAATAGTATGGAGAACGCAATGTGTAATTTGCATATTTATATAATTTACGTGTTTTTATTTAGTAGACTATTTTAAATTATTTAAAAATAATAAAAATAAAAAATTTAATTCAGAAATGAAATATATTGATTGATAAACATAGCAATTAAAAAAAAAAAACATATTGTGTTCATAGATATCAATAAAACGTATAATTTAAATCTGCAGCTCCATCTGTAGGCGAATCGAGTATTAAATTCAAATTAGTTTTAATGTTGATTTTTATTATTAAAATGTACAAATATGTAATAAAATTAAAAAATTTGAAGCCAATACAATTAAACAATTTTGATGAAGAAAGAAACTGTTTAATTTTTAAAAAACAGTTATAATTATTTTTAATCTCTTGTTGTTCGTGCTAATTAATAGAAATGTCACTGACCGTTAAAATTGTTTAGATAAAATGTTAGTTTAAAGTTTAGATATATACCCACAAGGAAAGAAATAAATCTACGAATTGCCAATGATGTAACATCCTGTACAAAAACAAAGCCTAAAAATAGCAAACACATGCAATTGGAATAACAGCGATTTCGAAACAACAAACCAAAAGCTAACGACACGCAAAACAAATTTATTACTGAAATTTTTTAAATGCCCACTAAAATTCATATCCTAATCCCATTTCTCATTAAAATTTCTTAAAATATTGCAAAAATATTTTAAATCTAATTATTTATCATAAAATATTGATATAAATATTTCCGTATCGCTTTCGCGTTCGGGATAATGCCGATTACTATTTCAAGTATTACAAATTTTATTTTGAAAACTTTAAATAGTTTATATACATATAAATTATTCTACATATATTAACACTTCATTATGCTTCTACAGTGATGTATTTATAAAATGTAAAGTGATGTATTTATGAAAAATCATTTAAACTCAAAATTTATTAAATATTATTCTTAAAAGATATTGAGTTATAAATCTTAAAATATTTTTAATATTATATCTATTTTAAATCAAAATTAATAATTAAATATCATTCAGGAAAAAAAATAATAAATTCAAATTTTATTTTTAATTTCAAATTTTATTATTAAATTTCTGTATTGTTACACAGATGGCGTTCGTTTCCTTTAATGCGCCGTCTACAATTGTTTTTATTTCACAATTTTTTTAAAATAAATATGTTATTATTATTACAGAAATTCTATATTATGTTTATTTATCGTAATTTTAAAATAGTTTGGTAGATAAATAATTTTTCTATTTATTTTAAAGCACTTAAATTAAATATTTTCAAAAAAATAAGTTAATATTTGTCGAGAAATAAATCCCATGCATTGCAAATAATCGCGATAGAGACAAACTTAAAAAACATGGAACAGTTACGTAATTTTTGGAATGGTTTACTACGTAGTTTACATATCAATGATATATAAAACTTGAGCAAAAAAATTTAATTCATAATATCCTACGTCCGGTAGCAGTTCACCTTTCATTTAATATCACGCAACGTTTTGCATCACAGGCTAAAATTAAATGTAAAGAATATGTTAATTTCGGCCGTTCCTGAATGTTATAATAGCGGAAAATATTTTTCTACAAAATAATATTTATAAAATAAAAAGTTTTAAACACGATCTTATCGAGAAACTTTAGCCAAAACAACCTTCGTTATGTTTAAAGCGGGACTGAAAAACACAAACGGCGCCAGAGAAAGGAATGCTTTTATTCTTTGCTATTTTTGTAACTAATTTCAACTTCTTCCAGTATCATCAACAAACTTCAAGACGTCAAAAAGTACAATTAAATTATTACTTTCAAGTACAGTATAATGTGTCGCTCTTAACATAAGAAACCATTATGCTTTCGAATCGTTAATTGCACGATATACAAGACGTATTAGCTGGCTAAATATTTACATTTCTTCCCCTTTTTTTTCTAGACACTAGGACCACCTCCGTCTCTTAACCCTTGTACCTTTTGTCAATAACGAATTTCTCGATTCATAAAAAGACGCGACTTACAGAAGATCTAAAGTCCATTTAATTCAACTTTGCCGATATCTCAAAACTCTAAACGACGATTGCTGTTGAAATTAAGCGGTTTCTTTGATTGTATATAAATACTTTCTTGAAGATTTAGCATATTATTTTATTAATTCTTTTTTCTATTATTATTATAGTTTTAAGTTTATCAAAGTACTGGGTAACTGTAGAAGTTTACTTAGTCTGCATAAATAGAGAGCTATTTACAGAAGGTGTGCTGCATATTTATAACATGACCGTATTTTTTTTTTTACTGAAATAGCATCTTATGTTATTAACGTTCAGCCCTTTTTTCCATTTTTCTTTTTTAAGTGGTGCTCCTTGTAATGAGTTCATCGTTTCTCCACAATTAGTCTGATGTTAAATGGCTGCAAGTTACACATGTGAAATGTTTCTACTAATTTATGCTTTTAAAATAGTTTTGTTGCACTAAATCTTATTGAGATTGAACTTCGTAATTGGGTTTTAAAGTATTTAATTTTTTAATTGCTTAGAACCTAATTAAGTCGTATCTATTTTATATCTAGCTGATGACAAGAGGAAAAATCTAAAAGTTTGGCCTTTTACAATCTTACGACACGTAGATGTGAGTGAAAATCGCCCTTCGTATACACGCCGTTATCCTGAGTTTCGCACGCTGTTACTGTGGGAACTACTTCAGTTATTTTAGTGCTCGAAACATGTGGTGTATACTTGAAACGTCACCTGTAGACTACTTTCCTCCCTGGGAAAGTTGTCTTCTTTCTATTTAATGGGAAAAATGTGTGAAAAACTGCCTCCATAAATCTAGTAGACACCGACTAAAGCCAACACACACGACCGAATATTGATTGATAATATACTTTAAATTCCAACATGTATAAAACGGGTCAAGAATAAAGTTTGATTAATATAATAGTAATACAGTATTAGGAATACGTTCAATAAATTGATACCAAACGAGATTGATTCGTAAAAACTTAGTATTAATTTATCGGATTTATGCAATAAGGAAATGCGACGTATGGGAAGACTTTCTGTAGAAAGGTGACCCTATTTAGATGTTACACACGCGAAGAATGAATAAACCCACAACCAGTGGTTTATTCATTGTTTTATTCACTTGGACTGGTGGGCACACCAATGTTCAGTGGTAGTATTAATTAATTAAACTCTGATATTCAAATAAAATATGCTAAAACTTAATAATATGGCATCAAGAGGTATCGATCAATATAATTAAAAGTTCGAGACTTTAAATTTATGCTTAATAGATTAAGCATAAATTTAAAGCCTGGAACTTTTACTAGATTAAGTGTACTAAGGAGCTTTGATCAATAATCCATAATTTATTATCATCACCATGCCGTTTCATTTATAGAATATTTAATAAATGATTTGATAATAGTTTCAACTTAAGTCCTCTTGAGTAACACTTCAGTTAATTCTATTAATTAATGTTTATAATAGTTTTATATTGTAATACCTGAAACATCAGTTGCACTGATTAAAAATTGAAACTCTAATAAAAAAAAAACTTTCAACTTTGCTAATAATAATTAAATCTGGGCATTAGTAGAAATGTTAAATTAATGATAGCAAAAGTTATCACGAAATGCATCTCGAATCTCTACTTTTGCGATGTATAAATGTGATATAATACGCAAAATGATACTAAAATAAAACAGAAAACGAAGAATATTCACTAGAGCGATAATTCTTTTAATTTTTCGGTACTGATACAGTTAACGAAACAATCTTAAAAGCTGAGAAATTAATGAGCATAGCAAAAAAATAAGAAAAGATGAGATTCTAGACGCTTTTAGAAATGACCCGGTTTCTACTCAGCTAACTCAATGAGGATAGTAATACTTTCGTAGAATTTTTTTCCTCCCTTCCGACAGGAAGCACGATAGGATATCCTTGCAAAAGCACAAAAATACACTAAACTACAAAAATAATTATTATGTCAAAGTTTTTAACAGGTAATAAATGTAATATTCGATCAAGTTTAATCAATTCTGTGGCATAGAAAAGCCATAGAGCTTCAGCATTTCTAACAGTTCATCAAAATTAAATGTTTAATTAAAGAATTAGAAATGAAATGATAATTTAACACATAAAGGTAGATTCAATTATCATTCAACAATCAATAATTTAATATTCTATAATAAATTATAAATAAAATTAAGAGCAACTTGAGAAAAGCATCATCACTATGCGAATTAATAACGTCGAATGTCTTAAATTATATATATGTATTATTATTAAAAATGATTGTAATTTATTGAAGCTGACTGAAAGTACAAAAATTTTATTCTGCTTTCATAAAATTGCATATTACGTAGAATTAAAAGAAATTATAGTAATTCCATTTATGCAATCAAATTTCCCAGAAGTATTGCAACATTTTTCAATAAGCGAGAATTAACAGGGAAAGAATTATAATAAATCCATTAAAGAAAAATAACTTACAATCTATTAGCCGTCGGATATTAATTTTTATATGAAAAGTGGCCATTATTAATTTTCTATCGTCCTTGAAAGCATTATAGGAAATAATTACCAGCAGGAAGAATTGATTTTTAGATATACTTAAATAAAAATAAATTTATCTTACCGTTTACTCTTAGATACTTTTCTAAGATTTTTTTCTAGTAAATCGGCATGAATGGGTTCTGCAGATATAGCTAAACGTTTGGTTCGTCCTTCCAATTTGACTTTACCATTTCTAATCGATGAATCCACCCACAAATGCATATTCATTGCCATTTGCTTGGTTAGTGGTTTCATAACCGTTTTATAAAGTTCGAGATCATTTTGCAACTGTTGAATTAGTTCGTTTTTGGCTTCTAATTCCATTTCCAGTTTGTCTATCAGTGTGTCTCTCTGTCGAATTTCTTCGATTTTCTGTTGCAAAGCGTACCGAAGTTCCCTTATGGATGACATCTTCTCTAGATCGTAACGCAGCGACTTAATGAGTTATTTGTCAGGAAAAGTGCAAGCCAAGCTCTCATATAATCTTTCGCCGTTTAACAGTTACTTATAAACATAACATTGGCAGAGGACCAGAGCGGAATGAGGTTCAAGTGTCGGTGCCTCTAGACTGTTTATCGGTTTTGCACCCCAATAACGGAAATTGTGACTCCGCCTGTTCCTTGCTAAACCGAGGCTGTAGTTACAAAATAAAAAAAATATATATATATATTTTAGTAAGTTATTAGGTAGGTGGAGATGTTCATAAACTTACGGATTCTAGTTAGAGATACAATACACTTGGGGAATTTTCTCAAATCATTTTTTGCGCTATTTTTAACTTGTGACAAACTTATGTAGTCATGGGTAATTCACCTGTACTAAATTTATTACCTAACTTGTTTCAAAACTGAGTTTCAATATCGATATTCTGACAAAATTCTGTATTTTCACAAAAAAATTTCGCTTAAAAGTTCGAAATTTTATCATAGATAACGTCTAATACCTTCTTTTAACATAATCTAAATTCTGATGGAAAAAAGAAAATTAATTTGATGCTATCGAATTAAAATTATAAAGTTTTAGTTGATATATCATATTCGAGTTATGGAATCATCCATACGGAAAATCTGATATGGAAGTCATGTGTTAACCTTTGTCAAATTATATCCATCAAGATTACGATCGGGTGCTCAATCACTCTGTTGACGCTAAGTTTGGCAACTTTCCTTCTTTTATATGACAGGCGCAATACTTGAATTTAATGGATTTTCTCTGAGATACGGACTAAATTCTGCTAAAATTGGGAAACACACTTAACAAATCTTTAATATACAAAGTATATTTATGCTGTTTTCTATTATACTAAATGGTAAACAAATCAAATTTGTTAGCAAGATGGATTAACACGTCTTGAGACTCTCAGCAATAATTATTTCCAGGGCCTTTTGAATTTTCTATTCGTATATATAATTATTTTTTATTATAAATATCTTTTAAGCTGAAGCAGGAATAGGCCTCTCTACAGGCAAACAAGCAACTGTACTTGCTTTTCCTATAAAATAACCGCTATTAAACCTGATATAGTACCTAGTTTATATTATTCTATTACATTTATTATATTTGAATGTATAATACATAATTATAAGCTGCATTTAATCGTAAAAAATAAATAAAACTATTTTAATTATTTCATTATTTCTCAAAGCATAGTTAACACGAGCAGCAGACCGAACAGATATAATTAATATTTTATAAAGTAGACTGTAAAGTACAGTACATTTATACTGTAAAATTTGCATTATAAAATATTTACTTTGAACAGCATCAAAAATATTATATCAAATGATGCATAAGGCCAAGTCCACGTGATCAATCATTCAATTAACACGCCTTTAACATATATCCTATAAGATAACAGGAGTTTTATCTATATCCACATTTTATTAATTAACTTATGAATCGTTTAAATTGTAAATAAAACACTACTTAAGAATATTAAAACATTTACTTAGGGAAAGAAATTGATTCTGTAATCATTGTTAACAAAATACCAGCTCCATTTATGAATCATTTAACTGAAGCATTACGAAGAGATCAAGGTCTATTGATCAATCAGTTGACTTTCACGTGTTTGGTGATTTCTCCATTTAACTCTGACTTATTTTAATGCTTAAGAATGCTCAAAAATTAAAAAACAAAATGAACGATTGATGTTTTAAGAAACGATCAAACTGGCGACAAGAGGTACGACCATTTAAACAACTACTTGGCATTATTTATCAAAGGCAGTACTTGAACTATAAGTTGACTTCTATATCGATTTAACAACGGCGAGGACAACAGACCTCCTGTATTTATAGGAAACACAATAATTGCTAACGTTCTATAAATAGAATTCCACTTGGGGTGACGCCAGAGCGACACTTGTTCGCTAATCTGTCTCCTCTGTCGACTCGATACATCGGTTTGTAACAATTGTATACACGATAAGCGCTCTAGTAGATGTTTAAAATCACTTTAAAAAAGAATATACAAAGTTACAAAGTCACATACAGACATAAAAACAATTCCGAGCGCTGCAGTTTATTGTAGAGAGCTAAACGCACGATACTCAGCGCTGCAATTCTTGTACTGAGCTAAACGCACGATATTGATCGCTTCAATTGTAGTGAGCCAAACGCACGATATTGAGCGCTGCAATTGTAGTGAGCCAAACCTACGATATTGATCGCTTCAATTGTAGTGAGCCAAACGCACGATATTGAGCGCTGCAATTGTTGTAGTGAGTCAAACGCACGATACTCAGTGCTGCAATTGTTGTGGTGAGCCAAACGCACAATATTGACCGCTGCAATTGTTGTAGTGAGTCAAACGCACGATACTGAGCGCTGCAATCGTTGTAGTAAGCTAAACGCACGATACTGAGCGCTGTAAATCGTTGCAGAGAGTCAAACGCACAATACAAAAATCGTTCATTTTGAGAAAATAAAAACTAACAATAATAAGTGATTTCAATATATTTTCTCTATCATTAACTACGTATTAAATTTAATTATCATCAAAAATAATTACACATCAGTTACTTCAAAAAACAAAACATAGATGGCGCAACAAAACAGACAGGCACATCTAATAGAAAATATAAAATATAAATGTACTTTATGTAAAAATATATTTATTTTAGGAAAATAACGCAGATGGATTTATAAAAAGATACAAATGCAACCGGCTTACGATCGGTTAGAGCTAGAAGAGAATAGTTTCAAGGTGAACAAGGTGTAGTACTTGATACATGACCTTGGCGGTAGATGCTATTTATAGTTCAATGGAGCGAAGTGTAGGACTTTATTCGGTCACGTGATTTTCACTTTTAGTTAAAAAAAAACAAGGGAGAACAAAAATGTCGGCTGCAACTTTTACTTTATACAAACTTAATGGATATTTTTAGTCTCTAGGAATATTTGGGAGTTCGTTCTTTCCGGGAAATGAAGTCCAGTCTGTTTCACGGAAATCTGTTATCTATTTTTAGAAACTTTTTTCAATTTACATATTTTGAAGGAGACTTTTGATATATTCCAGGTTCTTTACGAGAGTGTTTTGATTTATTTGATGATTTCTAGCGTGTTTTAACGAGACTTTTGCTGTAAGATGATTTGGTGGGCATTTTCCTTAAACAGGATTTCTATTTTATAATTTTATAGTTTTTTTTTTATCGTTTATATAATTACAGTAATCAATATTTTTCCTTCGGTAAGCTAAATTCTAGAGTACAAATTCTATAATTTGCTTTATTAATCAAGAAAAAGCGCTTTTAAATTTTGAATAATTTAAATTTAAGATAAATTTGTTTATTTAATTTCAAGTTTTAGTTATGATTTGCATCAAAACTTCTTTATTTTTGTCAGTTTATGGGATTTTTTCGAGTTTATTTATTATTATTTTTTTTTTAGATATTAAAAATATTTTAAGGATTCTTAAAGATATTAAACATTTTGCCAGACGTGCAATTAAAAATTTAAGAGAGATTTTTTGTAAAATTAGAAAATTGCTTCGTTTTTATGAGTACGATCAAACCTCTCAACGGCCACAGGCAGGAAAAATGATTTATTGTGCGATGGCCGTTGTTCAGAGGAGACTGCTATTGGAGGCTCGACTCTATATAATTTTATATTTTATTAAAAATATTAACAATAATCGAAATATTTAAGAACTTTTCAATTAGCTCTTTCAAAACAAATAAACAATACGTACAAAAATAATTAAATATTCATTTTACAAACAAAATATTTACTATAAACAATACTTGATCATAAGTATTAACTACAGTACGTTCTCGGTTATCCGGCCGTTCGCTAGTTCGACACGTCCAGTAATCTGACACTGTCGCCAAGTATACAAGATTCTCACTAGTTCAAACTCCAATCCCTACTAACTTTCCCACTGTTCGCTTCAATTTCCCACTAAATTTAATGGGAACTACCAACTCTGCAACATTGATTACCGGCAACGGAAGAACGTACGAATATTTTGATGAATAGGACCTGTGTTTTGCTGCATTATTAACAGTTGACTACGTGCCATTGAATTCATCTTACTTTCAATAATCCGGCAATCCCCTTATATGTTTCCGGTGCCGTACATGTCGAATTTTCAAGATTGTATTGTACTTACAATTGAAAAATTTTAAACTTTTACACGCAAAATCGCCTGTAATGCATTTCAATCTTACATAAGTTTAATTTTATTTTATTATGTATACATTTGTATTGTTTATGATTAGTCATGCATTCTCGGTCACGTGACCGGTGTTTCTATTCTTATCGCAATCTATAAATAACCCGACCAATTTAACTCGTTTGCAATAATTATAGCTGTTTATCAATTCCGAACACCCTCGAGCCGATTTAATTTTAAGAAGAAAAAAATTAATCAATAAATAAAAGTTATAAAAATTCTGGTGTTTTTTTTAATTGTAACGAATCACGTGATTTGGGTCAGCAGATTCCCTGTACGATTGTATTATATTTAAATATCTTTTCTCTAGTGTAAACTTTACCTCTTCTAATATTTTCGATAAGTAAATCCGAGACACGTTATCGTGTTACGTTTGGCTTTTACGTTGCACCGTCACGTGACGGAATATTTAAAATTTTTCAATTAGAACATACTTTTTCACAATTAAATTTTTATTTTTAAAGAGCTCGGATATTGTTACGATGTCACGTACGCCGTATTATTACGTTTCCAAACGGTGCCTATTCCGTGATCGTAACACGGAACGTGACTAACAATGTTTACGTAACGAGGCGCATAGACGAATTTTTTCGTCTATCACGTAAGCGGGGATTTAGTTAATATTTTTTACGTAATAACGAACAAGTGACCGATCGGATACGTTCGAATTAATTAATTAAAGGAATTAGATGAGGAATTTTAACTGGCTAACCGACGCCATAACGTTCCTCATTCCACCCACTTCGTCCTGCTAAGTCAGGTCTGATAACCCTGCTAAAAATAGAAAACGACCTCTGACTCGCCAAATGATAAACATGTTGGTGCAGTTTACTGTGTTAACCTTGTTCCAACTCTAGTTTAAAATAATCGAATTTTTAACAGCAGGGGTGTCTTGTCTTTCCGTCTAGTTGCGTGCTGTTTAATTAACAATTTCTACTCACTATAAATTTAAAAATATTCTACTTCGTGCAGGTGAAGCTATCCTAAGAATTTTTTTTATTAATTATCCTCGTTTACGTATACTCAACGTATTTTGTAGTACAGGTATAAGTTTTAATTCTCCAGAAACAGACAAGTTTGTGAAGTGGGACTGCGTTAAACCGTGCAACCTATGTCCAACAGTTGGGCCTTAAGTGAGGATACGTCCTTCAATTTTATTTTCAACCTTTATTAACGAGATTGAAATCTGATGCTTTTACATCAAACGAAATTTTCTGAGTGCGTCTGGACCCAACAACATTAATGGCGTCCTACATACAAACAGAAAGCTCCTGTCCAAGTGTGCACTGGGATCCAATTACTGCAGAGAATTATACAAATAGTGCAAGTGTTGCTCTAGCAAAGTGCGGAAGGACGTTGGCATACGATTACTACTTAAGAACCATTCACGACTATATTGTTTTTTATATATTGAGTGTTTTTTTTTTTAATCTTTCTAGTTTTAGCTTTGAATATAAGATTCAATTTTCTCTTCCTTATGAACAATACGATAAAATCTTACAATCTATAAGATGGCTCTAGACTTGATAGGCCAAATCTAGACCCGGTCTACTTTAAAGTATATCTGCATTAATATTTAAATAAAAATGTAGTGTTTACAACGGATATCTACCCTAATTTGTAAACACTGTGTTATTTAAACATATTTTCGTGATGAAAAGACGAGCGTTACTGTTTAGGACTAAACATGGATGTCGATTCATATACAGAGGGGACATATTCCTCAATATTTTTATACCAGCAGATTGTTCCCCTTCCGGATATATATACATATTTTTATTTTATGCCATAATACAAAAATTAGCGTAGAAACGAATGCACTGTCCTCGATAATGAGAAATTTTTCCTACTCATTATCATTGGCCCGACTCCCC